GCCTAAACCCCTGTCTGTCCTTTAAAAGAAAAGGATAAAAGGGAAACTAGTCTAGCTCTTCCAGAAGCAATTGAGAAGCCTTCTGAGTAACCAGGTGGTATGTAGGGTTTCTCCATATCACTTGCATGTCTTGCCTTAGACCCCACAAAAGTGGAGATCAGAAATCAAACTGGTAAATGTGGCAAAACATCTCTCCCCAAAACATTGGAAGATATTTAAATCAACCATCAGAGTCTATTTCTTCTGGATGGCCAGTCCTAGAGAGTGGTGGTGAATGGTGCTGCATTCAGCTGGGGTTCAGTCACCAGTGGTGTCCCTCAGGGGTCTGTGCTGGGGCCTGTCCTGTTCAATATTTTTATAGATGACATGGATGAGGGGATTGAGTCTTTCATCACTAAATTTGGCACTAAACTGGGAGCATGTGTTGATCTGTGGGAAGGGAGGAGGGCTCTGCAGAGAGACCTGGAATGGTTGGATGGATGGGCAGAGTCCAATAGGATGAAGTTAAATAAGTCCAAGTGCAGAGTTCTAATTTTGGCCACAATAACCCCCTGCAATGTTATAGACTAGGGACTGTGTCTGGACAGTGCCCAGGCAGAAAGGGATCTGGGAGTACTGGTCGACAGCCCGCTGAACATGAGCCAGCAGTGTGCCCTGGTGGCCAAGAAGGCCAACGGCATCCTGGCCTGTATCAGGAATAGTGTGGCCAGCAGGAGCAGGGAGGTCATTCTTCCCCTGTACTCGGCACTGGTGAGGCCACACCTTGAGTGCTGTGTCCAGTTCTGTCCCCTCAGTTTAGGAAGGACATTGAGACCCTTGAGCACTTCCAGAGGAGGCAACAAGGCTGGCGAGGGGCTTGGAACACAAACCCTGTGAGGAGCAGCTGAGGGAGCTGGGGATGTTCAGCCTGGAGAAAAGGAGACTCAGGGGTGACCTTATCACTCTTTACAACTTCCTGAAGGGTGTTTGTAGTCAGGTGGGGTTGGTCTCTTTCTCCAGACAGCAACAGAGAGGATGAGAGGTCACAGTCTTAAGCTGTGCCAAGGGAAATATAAGTTAGATATTAGGAAAAAGTTTTTTACAGAAAAAGTGCTAAAGTACTGGAATTGTCTGCCCAGGGAGGTGGTGGAGTCACTATCCCTGGGTGTTTAAAAAAAGATTGGATGTGGCACTCAGTGCCAAGGTTTAGTTAAGGTGTTAGGGCATGGGTTGGACTTGATGATTTTAAAGGTCTCTTCCAACCTAGTGATTCTGTGATTCTCTGTGATTCTGTGATGTCAGCTGTCTGTGCGCCTTTTATAGGCATTAGAGCCACTGGCTTTCCTTGGCAGAGTTAGGAGAAGGACAGAGTTAAAGTTGTGAAGCGGGTCCCCAGCTAAAGGAATGCGTGCGGCACCTGGTGGCACTGGGTGGCCCTGGGGCCAGGCCTCATGGTCCCCATCTGTGGGACAACTCTGCTTGCAACTCTGGCAGATCATGGAATCACAGAATTGTTTAGGTAGGAAAAGACCTCTCAGATATTGAGTCCAGCTGTTAACACAGCACTGCCAAGTCTTCCACTGAACAATGTCCCAGGAGTCACATCTCCATATCTTTTAAATACCTCCAGGAATGATGATCCCACCACTTCCCTGGGCCGTGGTTTGACAATTCTTCCAGTGAAGAACTTTCTCCTGATATCTAATCTAAGATGATGAACTCTAGAGTGGGTTGTGGGCAGCAGGGAATGTCTGCTGCTGAGAGCATGGCTGTGGCTCTGCCAACACCCTTGGCCCTGAAATCAAGAAGGTTAAAAAAGAAGATCTTGGATTTGCACATCCTGCAACATCAGTCTGATGTTGCAGATATAGGCTGACAAGGCTCTGTAAAAATAAGCCCTCAAATTTATCAAGTATTGTCATAATATGCTGATGCCATCTTTATCCAATAAATAACACCTGCTGTACCAAATTGGCTCTCAGGCTGTGCAGAAGAGCTGGCAGGAGATGTTTTGTCTCAGGCTGCACAGGGGGATGCCAAAGCACCACATGGAAAGGCAGCAGCCTGACATATTCTTCTCTCCTTTCACCTCCCATTACACCCCTTCCTGCCATCTCGCAGATCCATCTGACCCCACAGTGACTTTCCTACTGAGGAGTCTCTGCTTAGCCTCACCATATCCTCAGTTTCATACTAAGCCCCCAAACTGTGCAATATCCTCCAGTTTATTTGCAAACAAAACTTCTCAATCACATCAAAACTGTGGGTGTTGGCAGGTGACTTCTAGACTCACCAAAAGGAACCCTCAGGCCTGAAAAGAGAAAACTCATGAATTAGGAAGTTTAATCATTTTAAGGCAAGCTCTGTCATGATGTTTTCAAGTTCACTAAAACTTTAAAGGGTAAGTTGTATAACTCCTTTCTGAAACCAACTGTGCTGAGATGTAGCATTCCAAAGATCTGCCATACAGCTGGCCTGCAGAACTGATGTGTGTGATTCTAGAGAAATCCTACAAATAATCCCTAACACCTTTGGATGAACTTAGTCTGAAGTTGACACTCTCTAAACTAATAATATGTGATTGTATTTCTTTAAGCAAAAATGTAATTTTTCTGGTTCTAATTTGTTTATATTGGATGTGGAACATCAGCTGCTTTTCAGCCTTTTCTTCTTTTTGCTTGTTTCAAAAGGCAAAAAATAGTTTAAAACAAAGTTTCTCGATAGCTTGCCCAGATTTAGTGCAGAAAAATCCTCCAGTGTTTAAAGATCTAGGTAACCCAGGTGTGAATTTACAGATTAACAATTACTTTTGAAGTTTTGTATACCATGCACTACAAAAACTAAACCATGACATCAACACAATTCTTCATTTCACTCCTATTGCAGCTGTACTCTCCTAAGGGAAGGTTATTTAGACGTTTCATTTACCTTTCTAATCCTTTGTTTTGCTTTGATGTGCAGTATAGGGTAAATTGTTCCTTTTGAACTGCTTTGTATCTATGGTGAATAATGATGAATAATGAATAAAGTCTTTCCAATGAACAGTGTTCAGTGAGATCAGACATGGTGAGGAAAAGCCACTCCCCTCTTCCTTTCAGTAAAATAAGGGAAAAGTCCTGAAAAAAAAAAGCAACGCCTTCCAGGCCAGCATGTTTAAAAATCTCAGAAATTAAGGTTTGAAAAGTAAAAGAAGTATTCTAAAGTGAAGTTTAGATGACTGTCTAAAGCTGTTAGCTCTTTATTGAGGCAAACAGTGGTGCAGTGAGTACTGGCAGGGATGTGCAGGCAGGTCAGTCTCTTTAAACTACAGGTGTCCCAAAATGAAGAAAAAACCTTTTGGCTGAGATAGGAGGGGCTGGGTCCCACCTACGGGGCTGAGGTCCCCAAACCTCACCAATGAGAGCCCCACTGTGCTGTGGGCTGCTACAGAGTGGGCAGTGCTTTACCCACCTGCAAATAAAACATACAGGCATCAACCCAGCAGAACCTGGAGGGTGATGAGGGAGGCAGAGGAGGCAGAGGAAGGCTCTCCCAGCCCTTGGGCCTTCCCCACACAGCAGAAATCCCAAGTGGAAGTCCTTTATATTTTGTTCATAAGCATTCCCTCATGCTTCCTTTGGCTGCCCCAAGACTGGCAGGTGCTGCCTCCCTGAGCTCGATGCATCCATCTCCACATGCTCTCCTTCCCAGCTTCCACATGCAGACACCTCACCCTGCAGGGGACACATCCAGAAATGGTTGCTTGGGCAACCAGAATCACATTTCTCTGCTCTTGTATACTTGCATCCTAGAAATAAGGGAAAGGTATTAACCAGGTAAAGCTTTTAAAGCTCACCTCTCCCACTCAGCAGCACTTACAGTGCCAGAGCTCAGCTCTGGAAGAGGAGGGGACGGGCAGGGGCTGGAGGATCCTCTTCAGAATCCTCTTTGAATCAGGCCAGACTCATGCTATGCATGAACAGTCATATTTTATTTTCTTCTCCTTTGTGGCTATAGAGGTCATGTCTCCTCATGCAGCTGAGACGGTCTTAGGAGAACTCCAGGACCTGTGCATGTGGAAAAGTTTCTCTCTTTTTTTTTTTTTTTTTTTTTTTTTTTTTTTAAAAAAAAAAAAAAAAAAAAAAAAAGAAGCAGCTTTCAGTGGAGTTTAGCCTCCAGAAATAGGAGAGGTCCCACACTATGTGACTAGACAGCCTTACATGAACCAGCTGCAAGTACTCCATGGCCCAGAAGCCACAGTTTAAAACTTCTTATGCAGAGCTGACCATAGGAAATACCCATGAAAAAGAAAAATATACCAGAGCTTCCATGTTCCATTCATAGCCAGATGGCTCCAGTTCAGTGTGGCAATTGAATTTTCAAGCCAGCAACAATAATAACAGAAAGTACAGACTGCCAATCCTTCTAAAGTGGTTATTCTTGATTGCTGCCTGTGCAGAGACTCAGTATGCCTTTGGGGCATGAGGCACAACAACTCAATTTATGCTATCTTAAAGGAAAATTGCAATTTAATGTTAGAACTGTCATTTGAATGAAGAAGCCACTGGCTCGAATGCAACTATCCTAAATGCTGGGATGATGGCCAGAATTACTAGGATTATGAATGGCACTGCTTTTAAATGACTATATGATCCTGACCAACTAATAACCTTGCCACACAGTGTACTTGATAATATATATCTAGTTGTGGGTGCATAATTCACCCATCAAATAATGAGAATTACTTGATATTTGTAAATCACAACAAGACATCTGTATTGAAATAAAAAATATAATTTACTAGTGAATAGTTATTTGATGGGTATGCAATTCATTTTTCCTTCAGTCATCTATTGTCTTGGCTTCCTTTCATGAAGGAAAAAAATATAAAACCCTCTCTAAAGGTGAAAGCACCAAATAGTGAATATTCAGGTTCTTTCTTTTACTAGCACAACTTCTACAGCAAGACATAGTGTGCTATGGCTTGTCCTTCTCCTACCCTGCTCACTGCCAGCTCTGCATTCCAGGTCAGCTACTCTGCAGTTGGGTCTCTGCTTCTGCTTCTGCAAAGCTATGAAACTGGGGGGGACTGGCTGGGAAGATAAGTACTCGAATTTATTTTTAAATTAACTGTGAGTTCTTAACTCAATTACACCCATTTGATTTATGCAAGGAGATACTTTAAAATTATAAGTCACAGAATTCTCCCACTATTTCCATAACTGGTCTCTGTTTCTCCTTCAGGTATTGCCTAGCAGAAAACCATGGGCAATTTCAAAGGGCATGCCCTCCCTGGAAGCTTTTTTCTTTTTTTTGGCCTATGGTGGTCAGTGAAGTATCCACTGAAGCATGCCTGTCGAAAAAACAAGAATATTTGCTACTTTGGTTCCAGGGCAGGATTCCAGCGCCTGGAGTTTGTTGAGGGCATCATCAAGGCTGTCTTTGCCCTCATTGGTGAGTGAGGTGTACTAAGGGCAGGCTGTACCTTCTAACACCTTTTGCTTTTAATTTTGTTCTCTGATAAAATGGATTTCCCTGTGTTCTGCTCTTTTGCCTTTAACCACTGAGAAGTGGTGGGGCTACTGCTGTTGATTACACAGCTGTGGCCATAACATGGTTTCCATCCATAGTGCTCTTCTGGAGCTTCTGTGAGGTCTCTTGACCACTTGACCACTCCTGACCACATCTCAGTGTTCATGTATGTTCACTGTTCAGGGAGGGAGATATTTAGGCAAGGGGCTCTCATGTGCACATTGGGAGCACCAGGCTGTGAAGGTGTTGCTTTTGTATTTTGAGTTCATTTTCTATTTTGAATTCAACCATCTCAGATGTTGGAAGCCTCTACTGATTTATTGACAAAATATGTAAATGATACAGATGATTTTTTGATTAATCTCAGTCAAAAGTGAAAATATTCACACAAAAAGACTGAACTCCAGATCTTATTGCTGCAGGACTGTTGTGATGCCATGTGGGGGGAGCTGTTTGTCCTTCTGTTGTGTCCAGGCCTGGGTACAAACCTGCTGGGATGGTTTTGAGAGCTGTGTAGCTGACTGGAAGTGTTTAGTTCTTGTTTACAACCTGGCAGGCTGTATGGTAGCAATTTAGCTTTAGAGGAAAAGTAAACTAAACAACAAGGGATCTGAGGACGTCAGCACCTGTGGCTCAAGTTGAAAAATATCTAAAATTTAAGCATTTTTGCACTTCTAGATTCTGTTTGTCTGCTCTTGTTTAGATGTCCAGTCACCTCATTTCTAATCAAAGTGCAGCTGTGACAAAGACTTGTTCTTGCTTTTCCTTCTGCTCTGTTAAGATCCATGAGCACTGAAGGGATATTGTGTCTACAATTTTTTCATTTAAAAATTAGAAAAATCTAAATAATAGCATTCATTTTGAGGTGTGACTATGGACATCTTTCCTACAAATCTCCCAGTCTGTGTCTAGAGGTAGTCTGGCAGCTAAAACATTAATCTACTGTTTTTATTTTCAGTTTGAAACCACTTTGAAGCTATTATTTTAACATATGGAAATTCCAATTCCAATCAAAAGTATGGGAAAAAACTCTTGGCTACGACAGACAGCAAAAGCATCAGGAGTAAAACCTGCTGTTTCCATGTCAGGAAAACTGGAAATAAAGGTGGAACAACACTGCATTTGTTCTACAGCATATCTATTTATACAGCAGAATGCTGGCCTATGCCTTATAAACAATATAATCAGCTTTAATGTTTTAAAAGCAGAACAACTTTTAAAACCTCCCCAAACTTCATTGATCATATAAAGCATTAAAAAGCAGTTTTCCCTTGCTGGAATACCTCAGCTAGTTAGCAAGACACTGAGGGGCCAAGGTAAGGGAGAGAGTAGAGCAGTGATTCAAATACTAACTCCATGTACATTCCCATGGGACTTTTAATAACCCTGCACGGTGGAGGGGTTTCCTTTTATGGCTTTAGAGGAAAAAAATCCACTTTGAGTTATGAGTCTGAACTCTGTCATCCTGCATGTGGCAGGGCACTGAAATGGTAAATCTTTCTTTTGGAGACTTTAGTGTGTGCTATGTTTCATGTTGGAAAAGGCAGCGAAAAATTTGGTCAGAAGACTACTACAATAGCAATTGTTTAAAAGAAGAAAAAGCAGCACAGAATAGCTGTTTTCATTTCCACTGCTGGAAACTGCAAGATGCAAACAGTTCCACCAGGAGTGCAGCTGAAGCCTGGTTTCCTCTGACTCTCCACTCTCCAGATTATGTGATGTTAAAACCTCAAACTTGCTGGCATTATGCTTCATGGGGATATTTTCTGCTTCTATTGTTTCTCTAAAGACTTGTCATCAGTTGATACCTTAAGTACCAGAACAAATGGTTTTTCTTCTTGTTTCATGCACAGGCATGGTGGCTGAGCAGTTTGTTCCTGATGGACCTCATCTGAAGCTGTACAACTATGAGAAGAAGCACTGGGATCACTTGATGAACTGGCAGCATGCCACCATGTACCTCTTCTATGGCATTTCAGGGCTAGTGGACATCGTGGCACATGGGACCAACGCGCTGCCAGCGGCCATGGACAGGATGATGCTTTCCTTAGCAGTCTTTATTGAAGGTCAGTGTACCTCTCCCTGCAGGGAAATGCATGAATCCTGAGGATAGGTGTTGGTCATTGGTCTGGGAATGTCAAATCAGCCTTACAGAACGACCCTCCAGGATCTGGGTGTTTCACTCCCTGAAACACTTCAAAGAGGTCACAAAAAGATCAGTCTTGGCCCTTGTTACACTGCTCAGGTCATGGTCCCATATTGTAGAGGTGGATCTTAGCTTTCCTACCTGGTTCAGACAGCAACAGAAATGTTATGAAAGTAGCAGCAAAAGCCTGTTTTGGCTCAGTAGTTCAGGCTTGTGTTTTATGTGGGTACTGACATGGTACACAACTAATTAGCTAAAGCCAGTGTGAGTGAAAGTGATACTGGCATAAGGAGAAATGCCAGAAATGTTTCACTGTTTCCTAAGAGCAGATGAAAGGAAATTGCAAGGGAAGAAATTATCTTAAATTGATCACAATTTATTCCAGGTTTTCTCTTCTGCTACCATCTTCATGGGAGAGCCATGCTGGATGTTCATGTTCATCAGTTACTGCTATTTGCTATCTTTGGAGCTGCTGCCTGCATATTTTTGGAAGTTTTTTTCCGTGGCAGTATTGTGTTAGAGATGCTCCGTACAAGCCTCTGCATATTACAAGGCAGCTGGTTCTGGCAGGTAGGTAACTTTTCTGCCTTTGAATTTCTTACTCACCAAAATTAGTCATTTTAACCCTTTGCAGATCTTTCATAGGTTATATATATGCCTTTTAAACACAGACCTCAAAAGACTTACGGAAAATAAGTTCCTTTAAAGAGATACAGAAAAAATATTCCTTTTAAGAGATAAAAGTATTTCTCATATCCATTTTACAGAAGTAGAAGCAGCAGTCATTTTACTTCAGTGCTTTTTATTTGAATCAATAAAGAAGCTGAAGTCTTTTTCTTAAGCTCCCTATGTTACAGAGCTCTCTGATCCCTGTAAATTCGGAACACCCTCTTCCAAATTTGCCAGCCAAATGGCAGTGATTTTAGGGCATGGAAATATATGCTGTTCTTTACAAAGAGAGTCTCCACTGTCAGCTGCTGGAGCAGGGAGTAGATGCCCAGTGTAGTACTGGACAGGTGAGGCAAAGGTTTCATTGACATTGCAAGTTCAAAAGGTACATAAGTTACAGATTCTCATTAAGAGACTGGGTGATGTAAAGCCTCCTGCTCTTCTAGTGCTCTGGGAACTGAGCAGAAAAAAGAACAGCCAAAACTTTGATATTTCAGGGATGTGGCTCCTGAAAGGAGTTTTCAAAATGTAGCATCTATGCCCTCACTTACTTGTGAGTCTATACAATAACAGATATTAGATAGTGACTCTTTCTCTGCTGTCAGAACAAGACAGAGATTTAAGGAGTTGCTGGGAGTTTGTAACAGAAATAGGACCACTAGTGCTGATGTGTGTTTCGTCTTATAGTGGAGAATTGAGGTCACTCCAATGATTTTTCTTTCCGGCATGTCTAGACTGGCTTCCCTTTTTTTCTGTGCTGGCCAGACACGAATAAAAATGTTTGCTGTTTCTTAGGAGAACTAGACACTCAGCACCAAATCAAATATTTAAATGCTTGCTCTGGCATGAAGACAGACCTCAGAACTGGCTGTATTTTTCTATAAGTGAACTCAATAATGTGGTGCTGCAACATTTGCTGTTTTATTTTCTTGTTTGCAAACTTTCAGCTGGTGATTTAAGAAGCTTTACATAGGAGGAATAGATGCAACCATTTATTCATTGTCTTCTGCCTAGTCTAATTTTAGAAGAGATAATTCCTTTAGCTCTAGAGAAAATGTGGGTTTTGTTTCAAAGTAAAAATTGAAGTACTAAAAATAGAAGAAATTTAAGTGGCTTTTTTCACACCTGCATCAGACTTCAACCATCTGTGTGACTGAAAACCACACTCTGGCTGCAGGACAGGAAATTTGTGAAAGGTAAAAGGACTTTCTTTCTGCATCATCAACACCCTCATTCATTGAATTGTCTGCATGGAAACGCAAAATGCACTTCCCCCCTTCTTCCCAATTTCTAAATTCTCAGCTAAAGTGCTGAGTGATGACTTTGAAGAGTATTAAGCAGTACAGAGGGTTGGTGTTTGTCATGCAAACCCTGCATAGCCACAGGATTAAATGTTTTCACATTGTTTGCACAAATATGAATTTGATCTTTCCCAGCTCTGAATGAACAAATCAGATCTGTATTTCACATGCACTTACAGTCTGGTATGAGGAAGCTCCATTTTTATGCCATTTCCGACCTTCCCTTGGATGGCCCAGAAGAAATAGACTTGTGGCTCTCCTTTATTTGTTCACTGATTATTCATCTTCCCAGAAACTGCTGGGAAGAAAGCAGGCAGTGCAAATGGCCAGGCAGGTTTTCTGATCTATAAGGTGACTTCAGTTTAGAGCACACAGGGCTGACAGTGCATAATTGTGATTGTTGCAGGGCTGGGCTGTTGGACAGTCTCCTTAATTTTCTGGGAAAGAGCAGTGAGTGTCTGGGACTGGCACTTTATCTTCAAAGGCATTTCTGCATAGAGTTTAAAGTGATCCATCACACCTGGGATTGACTACAAAATTATTTTTAATAGCAAACACAGAAATAAGCAACACCATAAGAAAATTAAATGTCTGCCTTGGGATGTGTGGCATAAAACATGATATGGCATAGGATGCGCATCAAATGGCACATACTAAATCTCTTTTATTTTACAGATTGGTTTTGTGCTTTATCCTCCAAATGGGACCCCAGAGTGGAATCAGACGGATCACACTAACATGATGTTCCTGACCATGTGCTATTGCTGGCATTATGCCTTTGCTTTTCTTATACTTGCAGTGAATTACACAATTGTCAGCTGGTAAGTTACTCGAAACACTAAAACTTTGGTGATTTGTCTATTTAGTCTAGTAGGGGCTTTATTTTAGAAAAGTTTCACTGACAAATGAAAAGGTTTCGATGAAGTAATTAATTGCCTTGCAAGGTCAAATAAAAATATTTATTAGTAATCAATGAAAAGCACATGACATTGCTTCAGTAGAAAGGGGAAAAACACATCCATAAATATAGCTCTGATAGCATAATACTTCTCATATAAAATGAGTTCCAATAATCTTCCACATTTGTAAGTCCATATAAAATCAAAAGTAGGAGATTCTTTTTACCTGCGGAATCTTGTCTCCCATTGCTCATCTCTGCTAATTTTAAGTGGCTTAGTGAGCAGGCCTCATGACTTCAATTTGAAGATTATTACACAGAATTCCTTGCTAGAAATTTCCTGTGATCAAACTTGATTTTCTTTTCACTGATCATTTTCAGCCTCTGATGTCTAAAGTTAACCCTTTTCCTTGCTGCCCAGTGCTAATTCTGACAAAATTCCAATTTTACCATGTTAAAAATGATCAGATGAGCCTTTGAGTTACTATTGACAATTTCTTTGTTGTTGTTTCCAGGGCAGTCCGTTCAAAGGTTAAGCAGTCCCAGCCCATGGAAATGGGTTTACTGAAAACATCTGAACGAGATCATGAGTCAGAAGAAGAAATTTAGCATGAATATGGCTTGACCAGTTTGCCCACTCCAACCATTAGGCTAATTGATACCTCATTTCTACATTTTTTTGCCATCTTATTCATTCTTTACTACGACTTGCTTTGCAAGTATTGATCCCCTGTGATATCTACGTCTACAGTTTTTTGGGGTTTTTTTTGTGAAGGTGATTTTTTTGTAAGGATTAACTTGCTGTTAATCCGTGGTGGTTGCATGAGTACCTTGCTTATCATAGACTGCTTCACAGAAAATGAGATAAGTATTGGACAGACTTGGCATGGAGGAGGTGGCACAATGAAGTCTGTATGTTTGCCTTATTAAAAGCTAAGCAAAATGTTTTTCAGCCATTGCTGGACATAAAGTTTCCATAATTAGGGTGTCTAAATATGCATGTCGGTTGCCCTGCAAGTGCCTGTGGATAAATAACTGTGCATACCTGGAAAACAGTAGAACAAGATAAAGAAACAGTCTTGCAGCTGTCTTGTGTAAAAACTTCACGTCTCTGCTTGTGGCTTTATGTTAAACAGAAAAAACTTCTCATTGTGAACCCATTGAGTGGTTCACTGAAGAGTGTGTAGTGTGTTCACCCCCCCCAGAGACACCACCAAGCCTGGCAGGAGGACCAAAGATGTGGATGGTGATCAAAAACCAGTGCAGCAGTTCATGCTTGTTCCTGGACAGTCCTGTCTCTTTGCTATCCTTTGAACTTTGCAAGGCAGTGGAAGTGACTCTGCCTTCCTTTGGTGCCTGGAACAATTTCTTTTCCAGAGAGGCTGAGGGGTGTCCAGTCAGGCAGCACCTAACTGCAAAGTCAGTTTCTTGGTGTTCTGCAGGGTTCAGAGCAGACACGTGACTCACCACCTGAGTTCAGGAGTGTGTAATTCTGCTCTGTGGGCAGGATGGGATGGTTTTGCATCCCTTTCCCTGTATCACCCCTCCAGTCATCAGGCAGCCTGCACGCACTGCACAGTGAGCAGTGGGAGGGCAGATGTTGCCTTCTTAGTAGCTCCATACCTAGCTACAAATACCACTGAGGGAAGTAAAAATAACACCACTTTTAAATGCATTAATTTTCTCCATGCAAACTGATCTAGTGAAAAGGACAGTGGCCAATGGCAGCAAACTGATTGCTTAAAAAGCTAGCTTATAAAATAGTATGTACCTCAAAGGGATCCCAAGACCCAAAAAGCCTTACAGGCTTTTTCTAAAACTACTTTACCTTCAATGCAACATAAATACTTACTTCACTTTTAAGATTTACCTTTTATCTTCCCTTTTTCAAGGAGCACCTTCCATAGCTGCACATGCTGTTAATTTAGTATTTTAGTCTATCAGTTTTGTCAGTGCCTTTCCAAAATCAGTGGTATTGTTTATTTTGAAGGATATCATCAGAAACTACTTTGCTTCTCACAGACAGAAACAATGCAAATTTCTTCACTGCTTTTCTTGATAAATACATTTAATCCTGTGAAAATATTAAGGTGCTGTTTGTCTGAACTAAAGGGATCTCTAAACTAAGCAGGAGGAAAAGCACAATAAACTGTCTGAGCTTCGTATGTCTTCTTAGAAGACTTCTGTTGTTAATAAAAAAATATTTTCTATGTTTGCCAAGTATTGTGAAGTAACACCTGTAACCAGGTGTCAGATTATTCAGATGAATCTTCTTTGGAAAGCAAGAGTAGTTGGCTCACATACATTTCTACATTTACAAATGTCAAAGAGGAAATTGCACATTGCTAGCCAAAGATCACTGCTCTTCTCAGCAATTGTTGGCCCTTTCTCAATGCCTTTCTCTGAAGGCTCTTGGAGATTTTGGCAAACTGTAGTAAAGCCTGTCTCAGGACATTCTTGTAAGATAGGTATTGGCATGGTGCATTTGTAGCTCTGTGTCTCAGCTTTACAGTGGTCTTACTACAAACTCTGAAATAATTGTATTTACTCCACTCTGCAAATCTAAGACTTGAGTTTGATTACTGTGGTTCCATTAAAATCAGATTTTCTCTAGAAGGAAGATGCATGGCTTCCCTGAGGAGTTTGCCTGTTAATTGCAGCATCTTACCTTCATTGCACCACATCACTCTTGTCTCTAAATTGTGGGGATATTTTTAAAGGGCAGGTTCTTTTTCCTGCTAGAATGGTGGAGCTACAAAGCTTCTGTAGTGCTGGGCAGAGAAGACGATGGTTGTGCATCAAAGAGAACTTGGGGATTATTACAAAAGCCAAAATCAGCTGATGAAGTGAATCTCATGGATGAGCTGCGCACATAGAAGGTGCTTAGCAAAATCTCTTTTAGAAAAACATTCTGTGCTTTTGCAGAAGCAAAAAGTGACAATACTTGAACTCACTGGCCAGAGTGGCTGCCTGACACTACTCCTCCTGCGCGGAGGAGCCTGTTTGGAGAAAATATGAGCAGGATTTGGCCTGCTGAGAGGTATCACCTGCACCTCCCTCTGCGCCCCTGCTGTGAATCTCCTGTAAATGACCACAGAACTGGATGAATAAGCCCAACATATGTCTGCTGGTTTTGGTGCTACCATGCCTAGCAAAGGCACCTCTAAAGAAGCCCAAACTGAAGGCTGATGCAGTCTGTGACACAGAACTGTAGGGCCGGCTTTGTGCAAAAACTCCTTCCTCACATTAGAAAAGGTGGCATTGCATTATCAAGCTTGGAGAAATGCAAGGAAAAACAGATCCTGAAGTTTCAAAGAAAGAATAGTCTTTTGAATTTAATTTTTAATACTTGCAGTAAGTGCAAAGTGTGCGTCATAGTGGGGGTTTGTGCCTGATAAATTTATGGTGCCACAAAGGAAAGAAACACCCAATTTCAGAGTGGGGTTTCCATACATGGAATGCCTGACCCATTCTCCTGTGCTCAAAAGAGATGCTCAGGAACAGTAGGGCACCTATTACAATGAAAAAGGTACAGCCTTCATCATTTCATAAGCAGCATGTATTGCCTGAGTTGAATAAGGGGAGGGAGGTCCAACAAGTTTACAAACACCACTCAGAAAAAGGAAGCTGCTCTCAAGAAAATTTAAATTATTTTTAAATACTGGTGCCTTTGAGAAACTATACGGTAGTCTTTACTAGCCAAAATACAGGTGTAATTTTATTTAAATAAAATTGATTTATTAATGTAAGATATCTGTCATGTTTTCAGGGGAAAAAATATAACTATTTATGGGACAGGATAGGATGGGTAAACAGGTTACTCTCACAACACATCCAGACATTTGAAATAAGCTGCACTTCATTTCAAGAAAGGTCAGTACTACCTTGTCATTAGAAACTGAGATGTTTGTTCTATATTCTGTAAACAAATGCTTTTTTCCCTTGTGACTAAACATAGCATGAACGGAGAGCAAATATGAAAGCAAGGAATTTGAATCCTCTAGGTTCACTCATCCTTAAAACTAAGGCACTAAAAAACTTCAGTGGACCATTTACCTTAATGCCCTCCCCCAAAATCTTTCTGTTCCTCCAAACTACAGCAGTTGGAGTAGGAGCTGCTGGTACAGAACTTGGTGGAAGAAAACAGAATAGTTTTTTAATCCAAAAAGCCCTTCAGCATGTACAGTAGTGGAAGAGAGCCTGACTCCCAAGGACTAAGCAACAAAGAGCACATCTGTTAAAAGGGAGAAAGACAACTGGAAAACTGCTGGAAAATTTGTCCTTAAAATCTGTTCTAGGTACAATATGTGCTTGCTCAAAATATGTGGGAGTAAAAAGCCTAATATTTGTCAAATAAGGAATAACTTGTCCTCCGATGACTTTTTTGAACAGTAATTTCTATCTCTTTGCTAGGTAAATGTTGCAGTTCATGAATTTCTATATTTGATACACTTCTTAGAATGAAAATACATTTAGAAAAGTAGATGAAAACCATAATTATAAATACTACAGCAATACTACTTAGCAATTTAGTTTAGAAAGGAAGCTCTCACTATAGATTTCTGCCATTTACTGACTGTCTTGGTTTGAAAGACAGGTATGGTCTAAGGAAAGGCAGGAGCCCCTTTTCTGCGATGCAGAGTGCAACCCCCCTCCCTTTTAATTATTTTAGGTCCAATTCAGACACCTTCAGGCAGGAGATATGGGGATGAGAATAACAGTTCTTTACTGGTATTTAACAAAGCAGAAAAAACAACAACAGCTATAAAAATTGGCAACAGAAACAGTCTAGCTCCGCTCCAGTCCCTTCTGGCCGCAGGCCGTCTCCCTGTGCTGTTACCGGTGCTGTGGGGGCAGGGCAGGTCCCGCGCAGTTGAAGAGGGCTGGGTGATGGCGGCCGCGGCCCAGGGGTGAGCGGGGATGGGGAAAGTTACTCCCCCCTCACGGTGTCGGTCGTGGTGCTCAGCAGAGTGTCCGGAGGTAGTAGGGTGAGCTGGGAGAGCAGCAGAGCGATGTCCAAAGGCAGGGAGCGTGGATCTCAGCGCTGGGATGACAGGGGAAGATGCCAGAGCAGAGCCCAGGTTGTCTTCCCACTCCAGGAGCCAAGCGAGAGAGCGAGTCCCCCGCTCCAGACCCCCCTATCCCACCTTTCCTTTTCCGGTTCCCCCCCCCTCCCCCTCCAGCCACCCCCCTACGAGAGAACATTATCTGTCGTTTTAAGGTGTAGCCACAATTACTTAGCATAACAATGGGAGAAATTCCACAGAAAGAAAAGCGAAGCATTCAACCCCCAACACTGACAAAACATTCTGCCAGAGATGACACCTAAAAGGTCAATGTAAGGCCAAAATAAAGGTATGAAATTAGAGCAGAAATGTTTTTGCCTGCATGCCGTGGTTAACAGCCACTGTCTCCCTGAGGAGGAGAAGGAAGAAATGGAAAACTGGCTGCAGATCCATACAGCTGAATAGCAATTAAACAGCAAGGAATCACTCCCAGCACTCTGAAGAGAATGGGAGGGGCAGCTGCGTTCATGGTATACAGCATTCCAGCCTCCTGCCTCCAGTGGTATTTACCAGGGGCAAGGATCTGAGACACATGATGGAATTTTTATGACTCCTGTGCCGTAGGAAGCAGCAATGCCAATCTCCCCCTTCCTGTGGGAATGACAGCAGGAGTGAACGCTTGCACTGCTTTGCTGGAATTTTACTGGTTTGTGACTCTGACTCAGATGCAGTTGACACATAAAATTCAAAGATGGTGTTTACTGCTGGCACCACACTTTGTGCACACTTGAAAACAGAAAAGAAAGAAAATAAGAAACATCTGGCTCTAATTAAGGCTTAAAAGAAAGGGAGGAAAGCAGAAGAAACATGTTCAGTCACTCAAGGGCGATTTTATCTGCCTCCAGCTGCATCACAGATACAAATTTGCAAGTGTTAAGGTTCCCTTTCAGTTTGATTATTCTATCATATAAACATGGTTTAATATTTTCATAAATAAAAGGTTACTATCTCTTAAGAGGTGTTCATTCATTTGTGTATATTTTTCCATCTGGTGCCTTAAGTAATTTTTTTCTCTGTGTTTTATATAAAGTGTTCATGTGAAGTTAGAAGCTCATGATCAGTTTTGCTCACAAAACTGTTGCTCCTACTGCAACTTCCAGCTGACAAACTGTCTTCCATTTGCAAAGCTGGGTTGCAACCCAAAGTTTTGGACTCTTAGTATTTCATATATCTAAACTCAACATTCAATTCAAAGATATCCATAATGATGTTAGCCATGTAAAGGAAAGAAGCAGGGAATTCCATTGAATAGGAAGGGCAGTGTAAGTAACCATGAGAATGAATGACAATTTCTTTCCTATTTTGTCATTTAAAAATATCTGCAATCATCTAGTGGCATTTCTGTTTGCAAAGGACTCAGACCTGTGATTCAGAAGCTGGTATGCTTTCAGTATACTGCAAACTTCAGACTTAGCTTAGCAAAGCTGGATGGAGCTTAACTTAATGCCAATGAACTGTTCCGTGACTCAGTCCCCCCATCTTCAGGATCCCTGCTCAGGAATGAGCATCTTCCTGTGTGTCTCTTAGATCAAGTCTTACATTCTTATCCCTTTAAACAGCAGAAAAGCAAACATTTATCTGCTATGGCAGGAGGCTGTAAAGTAATTAACATTTCAAGGGTCCAAAGCATTCTGTGTATGCAGGATGAAGAAGAGATGTTTCTGTCCAGCTGGGCATTGCTGCTGTTCACAGTTCCACAGCAGTGGGAGAGCTGGGTCATGCAGCCTTCAGGCTCCCAGGACTTGCCCGGCCAGCCCTGCAAATACTTCCAAGCCCATGGGATACCCGGGCATTAGGATGGACACTGGGGCCAGCCTTGAGCTGCGCCACCCAGCCTCTGTGGCTGTCCTGCCCACAGAGCAGTGTCTGCCCCTCTCTGATGAAGCCTCCAGTTCCCATTGGGTAATCCTATTGGGTTTTGCCAAAACTGCAGTTTGGCATCTTAGGGAGCGAAAGGGCTCAGTGGCCCCCCACGTGCTGTTTCCTGCCACCCTCAGACTCTCACCCATCCCCTGAGTGCCACGGCCCCTGTGCCCACCTTGGGTCTCTGTGCTGGTCCCAGCACTATGGATATTTTCCCTTTTCTGTTTCCCATGCTAATAATAAGAATTACATGGACATCTAGAACAAAAAACGTGCTTGTAACAACAGGGCTACCATAGACAGGCAGGCAGACACCCCCACAACTGGACAGCACTGAGCCCAGAGGGACAGCATGCAGCCCTGTCCCTCCTAAAGGTTTGTACCAGCCTGTCACTGGTGTAGTGGCACAGACTGTCTTTAAATAAAACCTCTGTGAGCAGACTATTAAGACATTTAGCTATCTGAAGAAGCACATTAACAATTTTGGAGCTCCCATTTGTAAAATAACCCTAATTGTTTCAGCATTTCCAGAGTCTATGTCGTTAGGAGTTTTCGTCAATACAGAGTGTCTTGGCCACCAGACATGATGTATTTTTTATCTTCAGTATGAATATTTTGAATATGAATATCATTGTGAGTACCTTGCATATTGCCACCAATTAAATTTAAATAATAAATAAATATATATCTTGTATTACTCATCTTTAGTCTTGATGAGAGGAAAAGACATCATAACAGCCTGTAAGGTGTTAAAGGAATCATAGTCTGGAGTAGTAGCAGCAGCAGTAGCAGTAGTATCTAATGGCCAGACCATTGTGCCACATCCCAAGACACCAGAACCCTTTTTTTGGACTGCATTTCTGTATGTCCTTGGCACACCACATCAGCTTGTTGAGTCCTGTTTCTTAAACTGAGATGGAATTGCTTTGGTAATTAAAAAAGCCAAACAAATCTCCTTCCCTCACTGGTGAAAAACACCTCATGGTGAAAAACACCATGTCAAAACAAGGTACTGTCCCTACTTACACAATGGGAATGAATTCACTGAATGCTGATGACAAAAAAGACGTGTTTGTTCCAACTCATTCTTAAAATAACTTTTTTCTTCTTCACTTTGACTGTGTTGACTTTCACCCTGTGCCAGCCAGCACCACACCTCCAGGGCACATACAGATTTATCCTGAGGACCAGAGTCAGTCCTCAAGGGGTAATAAACACACATGTGCCAAAACTCTTATTTTTAGAACAGAAAAGGCTAAAGTTTTATCATTAGAAAAGCAGTTAATGGTTTATGACAAGAGCACAATAATAACCATTGCATTGCAGACAGCCTGCACTACAACATGCCTTCACTCCACTGGGAACAGAATTTTGGTTGGAGTCACCTGTTGTGTAGTGACTGTGACCCTTTGGGCACGGTGTATTTGGCAGCTCCTCAGGTTCAAAGCAGGTAAGAAATTATTCTACCCCATTTGAACTCCTTGGGATCTTTTTCCTTTCCTTAAATATTTAAGCATGACTGCTGACAAACATTATTACATCCATGCTGCACACTTCTCAGGCGGAAATATTTTTCTTCTTACAACGTTTGAAGAAGTAACGCAAACTTTGTATGCTGCTGTAAAACAGAACAGGATGACAAGCAGTCTCTGGAGTGTTTTCATTGGAACATGTGTACACTGCTCGTGACTCCTTTGATATAATTTTCAGAAATGTCTTGACATTTTCTCACCCTTTTGGTAGACATTTGATTTATTTTTCAAAAGAGAAAAGTAAATGTCTAACTAGTCTACTAAATTGTATTTTAAAAAGGAAATATTTACTTTGCAGATTATTGTATGTTTGCATGCATATAGCATCTGTTCATATTTTCATTGAAACTTGCATTGCAGAAATAGTTATTGAAAGCATATCAGAGACTTGCATTTTCTATATCTGAAAATCAGGTCAATGCACTTTTGTAAAACATTTCTGTGTGCAAACTCAGAGCAGAAAGCTGGTCAGTGTTTCATCTCAGCAAAATACTATATTGATATGACACAAAACTATGCACGGACCTATATCCAAAATTCATTAAAAGAATCCAGTGATTCTGGCTGCTTATCCAGTAGACAGTCAGACATGATTTAAGACAAGAAGCCTGGAGAAAAGTTTATGTGAAGATTCATTAGGTTACATTTACTTCAAGAGATTTATCAGATTTTGTAGGAATTGAACAGAGCTGAGCCCAAGAAAGGACACAAAAGCAAACCGTGATTTAAAAAAAAATATATCAGTAATAATCTACCTTTGCTAATACCAGTATATGCTTAAACCTTTGTTTGACTTGATGGAGCCAAACCCAGATGAGATGGGAATTGACCCTCAGTGCAGGGCAGGGATATCTCTGCTTGTGCCTAACACAGCTGCAGGCAAATCAGCTGCTAAGAAAGGGATTTAAACTGCAGCTACTTCAGGGATGGAAAATACCTCCATGCCCATCTGGTGCATTGTTTGCTGTGCATAGTGGTAGAGTTTCTTCTTTATTCAGACTTCAATCACAAGTATTAGTATCAACAGTTACCATGATGCTTGGTTGAAACACCCTCAGCAGTTCATGGTGGCCTGGTATTATGTAAGAATCGAATAGTTTTAGTTTAGAAATATATACAGTCAAAAATCAGCGGGATTCTTGACATGATTAATGTCTGCAAAAAATTAAAAGACAAAGAAGGTGTTTCCTGAATTTTAAAATTAAACCAGAAGAACCCCATGATTTTAAGCCTGTTCCACAATTACTGGAGCCTGGTGAGTTACCGTGTACGTGTAGTAGGTAGCTCAGGAATTTACATTTGTGAAAGAGGGATTTCCTTCTGAAACAATAAAAGCTTCATGAGACCTTGAATAGTAGGATAAGTTACCAGGAAGCTCTAAATAGAGACACAGCTTGACCTGGCATTAACAGGTCCTGCGAGTGTCACACTGTTACAGAAGAGCTTTTTTGGGGAATGCAAAGGAAAGGCTGATGCCCTTTGCTGTCACCTGCCCTTTGCTGTCAGCTCCCCTTTGCTACATGGGCTCCATGGCAGCTCTGTCTACACCTCCAGGGGCAAATGCTGAACTTTTTACCCCACAGTTGTCGCTTTTCTGCTTTGTTGTTTTCAAAGGAGTGTCAGTCCAGTCTTCTTTTTCACCTTTCTCTTTCCTTGCACTCCTTTGCAGACTCTGACCAACATTGCCCCAGCTGGCTGCAGAAGCAGCTCCAGCACTGGTCCCACCTGAGGCTGTTCCAGACACTGCTCCTCAGCAGCAGCCCAGGGTCCAGACATTTGCAGGACAGCCCTGCTCCCTCCCTGGTTTTGGGATCCTCAGTGCCAGACGACCCAGCAGTCCCTGCCTGGCCTGACTGCTTTGGGTTCCAAGCAGGGCAGAGGCTTGGAGCTGTGCTGCAGGTTCCCCAGTGTCCTGGGGGCTCCCAGGCTCCCAGTCCAGAGCAGGTGGCTGAGCCCCAGGGTCACTCCTCTGCCGCAGGGCCCCAGGAGCCACACTGAGTGCCTGGCTGGTGAGACAGTGCTGCTGGGCAGCGGAGCAACAACAGCATGATTGGACATCCAGCTCCCACAGATGTTCTCCACAGCTGCTTAGGGCTGCACAAATCTGGGCCGCACAAATCTCAGTTGCTGGAGGGGATTTCCTTTCCTTCCTGTAAGAGTTCCAGTGGAGAGATGATGTGTTTTAAAAAGCTGATGGATAGGACAGACATTACCTAGCTACATTTAGATGTTATTCCACTATCATCAGAGACATCTGGCTGCAGTGGAGCTGAGACAGCCTGAAACACAACTGCTAAATAGCAATAACATGAGCAAAAGCTGAGCAAAGAGTGCCAAGAACAGAATTACCCCTGCCACGTGGCACAGCTCTTATAGTTTGCAATAATCTTCCAGTTATATGAATCCCATTAAAGTGTAAAAAGTTAAGCAACCTCTTTAGTTCAGTGAGAACATTAGAAATATACAATGACACCTGTTCCTGGCAGTGCTGTTTACTTTTGAATGTTCTGGCTTTACTCTGCTTGTCAGTGTCTCAAAACACAGGCATTAACAGATCAAATGGCAGTCCTCAAATCCAGTTTTCTGCATTATTTGAAACCATACACCCAGTGCATAGGTGTGCAATTTCCACTGTGAACCTTATTGGAAAGGATTCCAACTCCATCTTTCACTTAGGGATCTGGTGAGAAAACCTTGCTCTGTGGACATCCTCCAGCTCTTGGATCCTTCTTTCTAAGACTGAGGTCCACCCACTCCTTCCCTGTTGTGATTTCTGCAGCAGATTACCCCTTTAGCCATTCAAGATTTGCTAGTCTCTTTCTAAAAAAAACCTTAAGATTTTCAGAGCTTACTCTGAAATACAATAATACACAGGAAATACCATAATATATTCAGAAATTTCTAAGATCTGCAATTTCTCTGCTATTGCTTAGACTGTGCCTTTTTGTTTCCCAAAGCTGTGGCAGCCAGTTCAATTGCTATTTCACAGAAAACCCACTATTTCTGCCAAAAGACAGAATAAAAATCATCACCTGTCCTGAAGTGGGTATAGAGGCTATGGCTGAGGTTGAGGCATGGGGTTTTTCTGTTTTATCCTATAATGCCTGTCTTAAATCGTAGCATCTTTATCTGATTCTTGGATGTGTGACTATCCATGTCCTTATTATTTTTTAGACCCTTCAGCTCTGGGAATCTGTGGCTTTGTTTTGCCTTCTTGGTTCTGTGAATTCCCACAGAAGTAATTTGGGTGTTTCATGGACTTAACAGTTTGAGCTTTTGGTAGACTGGAACTCCTGCTCATTCTGCATCTGCACAAAACTGTTCCTACCTACAATGTTTTGGGAATGCAAATTCATGTTTGGAAGCTTTGACCCCACATTCATGCCATTGGTTTTAGGGACGTGACTGAGTATATGGGTGAGATTATGGGCCATACATATTTTTTAGCTGAGGTTTCAAAAGTATAATGTTTCTTTCTTTGTTTCATCAAATTAAATACATACATTATTTTACATACCCATTGATGAAGATTATGTATATAGACGTATCTCGATTCTTTATTTGCACAGGCACTACAGAACCCATGGAACCTCTGTGCTTCTGTCTCAACAGTGGAAGCTCTGGGGATAAGCCTGCATGTGCCAGAGGAGTAGGTGGGATCTTTTTGTCATATAGGTCAGTAAAGCCAGGCAGCTGGCACCACTTCTGGGAGCACCCCCACTTTGGGAGATCCTTGACCTTTCCTGCTGCTGAGATCTGCCCAGCAGGGTAAGATCCACAAGCAGTGCCTTGGCTCTCCTTGCTTGGTGAGGCCGTATTTTTCACCCACCTCAAAGGAATAATATCTCTGGGGAAGACATTACAGGTTTTGACATCTGTGGCCTGTTTCTAGCCAATTTGGCCGTTGTTTGAATTCCCCTGTTTGAAGCTCATAGTGATTTGAAAATCTGATTTGGGTCTCAGTGACCAGTGTTGCCCTGTCTGGATTTGCCCTGTGTTTGAGGACACCATCCACCTCAGCACCATGCAGGACAATGACTGCCTTCAGCTCCTGCTGCCACCGGCACTGATCTTGGATGAGTCAAATTTCCTACACCTGGAATAGCACTGTCCTGGTTGACTCCCATTTCAGTCCCCTCTGCACCACCCTGTGGGAGGCTGCCAGCTCGCTGAGCTGCAGGATCTCCAGAGCTGCTAAAATCCCCAGCTCCTTTTCTCCCTGGCCAACAACCCACAATGTGGCAAGTGTGACACACAGATTCTCCATCATGTGTCAGCTGTGCTTTTGTCAAAGGATGTGACACGTTTGGCCAGAAGGATGTCAAAATATCTGCAGTGTAACCAGGAAAATATGCTTGGTGAGGACTGCTAGGTAGATGAAAAGTTCAGATCTTCCATGTAATTTCCCTTATGACAGGATGGGCAGCACATCCAACAGACAATGGTAGATTGGATGAGTTCATGATTGATTGGAACTTTTGGGCAAAATGTTTCAGAGAAGTTGGCTTAAATAAAATAATCATGGCTGGGATTTCAGCACTGGAAACAAAGCATTATGATGATTCTATAATTTCCTTTGTTCACTTCTCTAGTGTTCTGCATTTGATTTACTGTGAATTACTTTAAATAATAGATTTTAATAACTATAGTTGTTAAACTACATGAGGTAAGAATGTTTGGACAGACATAATTAACTTGAAATCATTACCAACGTTACTGAAGTGACAAACCCTCACTTTTACTCTGTTTTCCTGAGGAAAGTTTATATTGTCAATCTATCTGTTGTTCCACTTTCTTGGCACCTTCTGACCAGTTTCAACGAAATTTACTAGGTGGTTGCACATCTTAAAGGTCTCAAAATCTTATGAGTTTTGCACATATCACTAGTTGAGTACGAAAGACCAACCCTATAAATATCTCAAAAAGCAAAAAGAAAGGAGACTTATGCCAGCAGTGAACACTACCCATGACATTTATCTCCACCAGCTAAGAAAATGGAGATGCATATTTTATGTACTGAAAATGTAAAGATGGATCTATGAGGTGAGAGGGGCTGAGACATGATGGAGCATGAAGAGCAGTGCTGAAGGTGTTGAGGAGGCTGGAAGAAAGGGCAGTCAGGTGCTGGGAGTATGGAGGAGGTGATGTGGTTTATTGCCAGGAAAAGACAGCATGGCATACAGCGTAGACAACTTTTGTAACCCAATTACTTTTGTTCTAACAATGATGAAAAAATTTCCACTTGGCTCGTAATTCATTGCTTTTCTACATTACGTCACTTTTTTTTTTTTTTTTTCCCCCACAAATCATGACAAAGGGCCTGGTATTCTTGCAGTTTATTCTGTTTGGGGTTTTTTTTTGTTCACTTTGGTTTTATTTTTGTTTTTGTTTTATTTTGTTTTAATCTGGAGCAGTCCTAATGACATTAAAATAGTTGGAATAATTCCAGATTTTCATCAGCGGGAAAATTTTATTTCAGATGGACTCTCTTTTCTAAGTCCAAAACCCAGTAATATAAGCATATAAACCAGCCCAAACCACTTTCAGATCAAGGCCTGAATAATTAGAAAGAAAAAAAAAAGCTTATATGAACACATATGCGTTCATAGCAACTTATTCTTGGCTTCATCCCTCAGAGGGAAGGACCATCACAAAGGTATTCAAATCCATGGGTCTAGAGAGGATTCATTCAAGACAGCTGAAAGACCTGGCTGATGCCCCTGTGGGACTTCTGACACCTGTAGTGATGAAGAGAGGCCACAGAGAACTGGAAAAAAGGTTCATATTATGCTCACCTTTAAGAAAGGCAAGGAGGATATCAGGGGGAGCCATAAGCCAGTCAGGCTTACCTCAGCTGCTAGAAGCTTTTTGGAACATATCTTCTTGGAGTCTATTTCCATGCATATGAAAGACCAGAAGAGCATCAGGAACAGCATGGATTTACATGTAGGACCAATCTGACTGTCTGCCATGTGAAATAACTGTATGTAGACAGCAGAAGAGTAACAAGATGTAATACACTTTGATTTATAGATGCTTTTGGCACCACTTCCCTCAGCATTCTTGTTTGGTAGATGAAGACACACGGGTTGGGTGAATGAACAACTCACTGGGCTGAAAATCACCTCAATAGCCAAGCTCAAGGGGTAGAATCAGTGACTTGATCAGGGCATTGTAAAAGTAGAGCCGCTTGCTGGTCAATAATAGGGTAAAATCCTTCAGTGCCTTCATCCATGACCTGGACCATGGCACAGCAGGTCCTCTCAGCAAGTATGCCCACAATACTGAACCTGGAGTGGGCAGAGGCATTGCTGACACAGTTCATGGTAGAGCTTCGATGCAGAAGAACTTGAGAAACCTGAAGATCATTCCAACAGAAACCTCTCGGTGTCCGATAGGAATAAGTGCTGACCTCTATGCCAGGGACCTGGGTACAGAGAAGGAACTTGCTGGCTGAGGAGCAGGCCTGATGGAAACTACCTGGGAATGACAGTAGGTGCCAAATTCAATATGAGCCAATAGCATGTGGTTCTCTGCACACAAGGTGGAAGAGCAGCTGTGTTATGTGGAGGGAGATTGATGGACACTTTTACCCTGCCCTTCCTGGTCCTGGTGATGCACCACTGGGAAATACAAGCTTAGTTTTGCCACCTGCAAGCCGGGTTAACCAGACTTAGGGAATCTGGAGAGGGTTCAGCAGGATGCAGTGAGGTCAGTGAGGGGCTCTGGACATTCAGGAAGCATGGGAAAGACCTGAACTTGTTCACTGTGCTGAAGAGGATACTGAGGGCAGGGCTAACAGCAGTCTCAACTCCACCTCAGAGGGAGTTGCAAAGACCATCAAACCCAAACCTGCTCAGTAACACCAGGGGGTAAAGCAAGACACAGCAGTCATAAACTGCAGTTTATGCATGAAGAGAAATGCTTGGATTTAGAAAGGTATCACATCACTGCAGCACATCTCCCAATGAGGTTGTGGAGCCTCTGTTTGGCTTAAATGCTCTCCAGAGGTTCCTTCCACGAGATTTTTGAGACACCTTGTCCTGCTATCCACCTTCTGGCAAGCAAGGCTCAGGTATGGTACTGTAAGGCAGACCTCATCTTTGCAGCATCATGAATCCTTATTTGTTCTTAATAATTTGTGTGGAAGGAAAGTCTAATTGTGTAATGGGAAACTGAAACCCTGTAGAAAACAAGATCCACAGAATGTTAAATAACTTCACATGAAAGCCTGTGCCAGAACACAGACAGCACTCCAGGTTTCCTAAGCCCCCTCAGGACCCTGACCATAAATATGCTTTGAGTCAGTCCTGCTAATGGGACATAGTCAGCTGAAATGTGATCTGAATTAGCAAAAGTTAGCAAAAACAGGATGTTGCAAGTCATAAGAAGAAACAAAAATTTTCTGCCTGTGTGCTGCAATATTTTTCCAAGTGTTTGCAGCTTTATGAAATAAATTTGTGTTAAGTTATAGCAGTAAGATACATGAGAATGTAATAGGCTGCTCTTTTGGGTTAGGTCAGGGTTCACTGGGCTCACCATGCTGCTTTTACATGTAGCCAGTATCAGCTGTGGGGTCTGGGCTGGTCAGCCTGTCCCAGTCTAGCAGACAGCAGGGCAGAAACTTCCTGCACCAAAAGCCAAATCCAACCCATCATGGTTTACAGTCACCAAAGGACTGTTCTTCATTAATTATTCAAAAGTGTGTATTTTTGCCCCCTGCTGTATTCTGTGGCATTAGGTTACCAAGTCTGATTTCTGCCCAGGTATTAAGACACCAAAGATGAGGCTTTATAATATTTTACAAATTTTCTAGGACTAAAACAGTGAAAATAGAAGAGATCAAAAAGTATGGGCTTTTAAGGCTTCACTGACATAAAAAGCATCACTTGTGGTAGCTTAGAAGCTTGGGTTTAGACAGGATTTACCTAACTGCTTTTATTTCATTTAGGGCAAAATATTCAATGAGATTCTATTGTCTCAGTACTATTTCATTTTTGAAAACTGATCCTTATGCTAAAAATATTTCATCTGGAAATACATTATTTTTTTTCTTTCTGTGCAGTTAATTTTTTTGACTACAGTACTGAGACAGTGAACATTTCTGAAAGCAATATAAAAACATTACTTTTGAACAGATTATAGTGGGTAAATATGGCCACTCCAAAAAGGAATGTTCACCTGATACTGTGAATGGTATGTGTCCCTTTCCTTTTGCTCCCATTTCCCAAAAGTAAATGTAAGGTTTGTGAAAGATGTTGGATTATTTGACCAGATGAGAGGTCTGTGTTCGAAGCCAGAACTCATAGCTCAGGCAGCAGGAGCACAAACTTTTCTGCAAAGCTTTCTAGCCCAAATGCAGAGAATTTCAGGTGAGATGGATCCGTGCCTGTCTGGGGCTGGGAGGAAAGTCAGGGTCCTGAACAGCCTTTTAGTAGAAGAACAATCTGTTTACATGCTACTATTGAGCATTGGGATTCAGGGTGCTTTCCATCAGCTGCAGTTCCATGAACTCAGCTTCCAGAGACCTTGTAGAGGGGTAAGTGCTGCACGACTGCTTCACATGTCCTTTACACTCCTTTCATGCCATATAAACTGTGTTTTTCAGGACATGGTAAAAGGTCTTTCTGACAGCTCAGAGCTGATGCCAGCGCCTCCCAATTAATAGATGTGTTTCTGCAGCTCTAACATAACTAAAACCCGTCTGACTTTGACATAAAGAGTGTCAGCCCCTCTGACAGGATTGTGCATATGAATGTAAAACACACGTTCTAAAAAGAACACTAAATAGTTAAATAATTGATGGTCGCTTGTAACACTGAAAGACAAAATTTTACAAGCAAACAGAAAATAACACTGGATAGGCTGTCACACTCACAGAACAGTTTTAACTCCCAGCAAGGTCACGTGAATGTGTGAGAACTCCTACACTAAATGCAAATCCTTCTCCTTTTACAAAATTAAAGGTAATGCTTCAACAGGAATCCAGATGTGCTCCAGAGAAAGGAAAATTCCTACTTTAAAACCTCCCCAGATTCTGAATTGTAATGAAAATCTGGATTCCTTAGCATCACAGGTATTCTTAAATTACTACTTAAACAATTTCTGAGATTCTGCATTAGCAGAAAAAAAAACAAACCAGGGAGTAGGGATAGAAAATTAGGGCAGGAAGTATATCTCATATTCCTCAAAACTTTGCAGAAAGCAAAATAAATTACCAAAGCCTTTTCCAGTGGCATTCTTGACGTGTCTGCTTTGCAGATGGCCTGAATTTCCAGTGGTGATAATTTTATTTTGCTTGGGTTTGCCTGGACACAGCATCCCATTTCATATTTCTTAACTGACCTGCAATTTCCTCAGTCAGGTTCCTAGTTCACTGCAAATGCCTCTGAGTGGAGGCAATGCTGACCCAGGGTACCAAATCAGTGAGAATGTGCAAGGGAACTGGAGAAGACTGGCATGAGTGTGATACTGACACCAACATGTTCAGAAGGATTAAAAGAGAAGCCTTTCCATTCTGTCAACATTTCTGTCCATCAAGAATCCAAATTCAAACTCTCTTGTATGAATGCCACATATAAAATCCATAAAATCCATAGCTCCCTAAGTCTAGTTCTAAGGCTTAACCCTGCTGTATCTGCAAAACATGGAGAGCTAAACATGACTAAGCACATTACAGTGACTGCTTCCCTTCTGCTGCTTCTGTGTTTCATTTCCTTATCACTAGCCACAATTAAAAAAAAAACAGAAAAAAGAAAAAACATAAAAAAGTACACCAGGTACAGTTCCATTAAAGAAGCCCTTTCCTCACGCATTTTTGCTTGACTACTGTGCCTTCAATCCAATGCTTCACCTGCTTGGATCCCTTCCTGAGAAACCCTTGAGCTCAACATTTTATTTTTCAGTACATAACCTTTACTAAATGGTTCAAAGTAATATATAATAAGTAGCAATTTCTAGTAGCAATAAGGTGTGATATATGGTTTTTCTGCTGCCGTCAGTAATGTGTGGGTTTGTTGGGAGCTGTGATGTCGGGCTGCCACCTAGTGAGCTGAGGGCCACTTGGGGAGCTGGAGAATGGGAGCAGAAGGTGTTCATGTTAGTGATCCAGAGCCCAGATTGAAAAGGATTTGACTACTTTTAAATATAAATATTTACTTTAACTCCAAGGTCATGTTAGAAGTCAGAAGCAAGAACAATGAACACGTGCATTCATGACGTACTCTTGGTCCATCATGCATATGCAGATGTTTTCAAGTCAAATAATATCATCTCCAGTAATTATAAATGTGAATTTCCTCCCTCCCTATGCAACACATTCACTTTTCTTACCTACAGTCCAAGCTTTGTCAATGCTTCAAAGCTGCATGATCGAATTAATCCTGATTTTGGTAACCTCCCAACATAAATAATTTGAGAACAATTCAGTTATTGAAGCAATTCAGTAGAGTTATTCATTGACAGGATTAAGAAACAGATGACTTGACCTGATGACTGGCAGATTTTCTGTCTCTTATTGTTATCCAGCTATACTTTCATATATCATATGGTATAGCTAGATGTCTCAACTTTGTTTTGTGTTTAGACTTTTAAGATGCTACAGACATTTAAACTCTATGCATTCAGTGCTAACTCAAATGGGATCCAACCAGTGCTTATAGCAATTCTTATTACTACCTCCAGCAGCAGATTTTTAAGCTGACACTCTGTATAATGTACTGAAGTGAGGATAATGTCCTCAGTGCAGGTTGTAAGCCCTGTGTTGAGAGGCAGGATTGATCCAGAGGACATTTCTGAAGTTCCTCTGATGGCCTTTCAAAAAATCTTGTTGGGTTATTTAAGGAACAATGAAAGGTGCACAGAAGTTTATAGACTCAGAACTCAGTGACCTCAAGACAAAGGAGAGGTCCTGCTGCTATTTCGTGGCAAGGTGTGGAGAACCATGGGGCCAGGCTGTTCTTCAAGGCGTGCAGTTTTAGAATGAGTGCCCACAGAGTCAAGTGGCAATGTGGGAAATTCCAGTTAGATAAGAGATTATTTTTCCTCTTAACACTGTTCAAACACAAGCAGTTTTCCAAGGGAGGTTGTGGATGTTCAAAGTGAATCCCTGAGCAGACTGGTTTCACTCCCTGTTGGGCTAGGGGATCTCCAGGGCTCCCTTCCAACCCAAGATACTCCAAGAATTCATGAAAACAATCTCCAGGCAGAATTTGCAAACACCACATACTTGACATTAACATAAACATTTTAGATGGCAAATTACTTGTATATTTTTATTTTATTACTTGTATATTTTTTTTTAGTGTGAGAATGTTATGAAGTCGTGACTCTTTTTCCTTTTCTCTTTTTGTTTCTGTTGAATGACGTTTTCCTCACAGGTTGAAACTGTGAGCTCCAGGGAGGTTTCACTTATTGCAAGTAACACTCAAATTCTGAGCCAGACTGACTGACCAGACAGAACATCACTGCTATTGCAAACATCGCAGTGCAGATTATGAAAAAGCCAAATGTTTCAGAAGACTTTCAGGTGACTTGTGGGGCTTAATATTTGGGATATCAATTCTGCCCCGCCTCCACCAGCAGAAAAGACACTGTTCTTTCTCTTAACTGTACGTAACACTGCAAAAAATACATTAATTTCGTCATTTAGCAGAGTTATTTAAGCATCCTTGAGCATGTATTGGTGGAATCACTGTTGGGTCTGTTCTCAGAGCTTAGTGTAAACTTATCAGCTGTTGAGATGTATATCTGAAATTTTAATATGAGCATCTTTTGATGTTTAAGTTAATAATTTAATCTTTACTAGCTAAATTGATAGAAGTGTGACATTATGAACCCATTGGCACAAAGTTTTTGCTCTCTTGAATGGCTTACTTTTTTACTCTGTTGTGTACTTTCAAGCAATGCTTGTTAAGTGTTCTTACTTTGCCCATTCAGTGTGTAGCACATAGGGTGATCTATTCAATTGCATTTGATTATTGCCTTTTTTTTCTGCTTGTCTCAGGCATCTGTGGCAGTAATGGCTACAGTGAGTCAACTCTTGGATGTCAACAAAACCGAACTCATCCACAATACTCTTGTCAGTGCCACAACCAGGTAACTTTAGCTTTTGCCATTTTCTTTAGATGTAGTCAACAGCATTTTTCCTTCTGTTACAGGATGAAAGCAGTTCACGAATAAGGCAAAATATTTTTGGCATTTAGTTCCAATGTGTAATTTCCAATTTACACCAATATGAGCATTGCTGGATTCTTCTGCTTTAGAGAAAAGATGGGGATAGGAAATGAGGAGTACTTTCCACTGGAGAACCAAACAAGAGAGGAAGCTCAGAAATGGAACCTGTAGCTGTATAATAACAAATAAAAAATAGTGATAACTTTTATCCCACTCATTATTTTGATGCAGCCTCACAAAAGCAACAGAGGAATTTTCTTTTACTGGTAACATCTCATAGCCCAATGTTGCAATTCAGTCTGCTCCATTGAACTTAAGCTCCTCTATGATTCTGTTTTTTGGTACAGAGAAGTAAGTCCAGTGTGTTGTTGTATTTACCTAGACAGAAAGAACAGCAGTACAAACCATAAATCCTAACTCATATGCTGCTAATTGGTGCACATACAGTGCTGGGAAAGTTTCAGTCAACAAAACTAGAAATACAGGAAAATGTTCCTGGGCTTATTGGTGACCTCAGTACTGAAGTTCAGATACTGTTCAACATTTTAAGTAACAGTAAATCCTTTCTTCTTTTGAAAACTGCAGCTGGGAAAAATTTTAATGAATATTCACAGAAAATCTTCTTTGAGAGAAGAAAACCCTCGGTTGATTTTATGCATGCTGATGCCTGGTACAGGAAATGCAAATGTTAAATGAGCTAGATAATCTTATTTATAGAAGAATGCAAATGTACAAGTAATGGCCAGAATGCTTGTGGTGTTTGGGACTTTTTCATTTTGTTTTCTAAAATTGAGGGTGTGTTGAATCTTTGACCATAACCCTACAAACATCAAGATCAAGAACAAGTCCATACTTACCGTGTCTGAAATCTGAAGATATCAACAATTTCAACTAAAATTACTACTACTGTCTGGTGTCAGCCAGGACATCCGTATCCTAACACCTGCAAATTGGATTACATGCTTGGGATTTTTCCAGATGTCCATTACTTACATTTTGCAGTGCTTGGAGGATAAATTGATATCGACCAGGAGAAAAAGAAGAAGAAAAAAAAGATTATAGTTCCTCTGCTTCAATTGCTTCAGAAGCTGTTGGGTGTGGGAGAGTTGAGAGCTGAGAGCTGAGCTTCAAACATGTGCATTTCTGTGACATCACAAGAGTCTCACACCGGGCACCTGAAACCAGCAGACTTGTCCTCAGTCTCTCCGTGTAGTGTCAGTAACACTGAGACATCACAACAGTATAACAAAGGTGAAGTTAGTAGAGCACTTAGACATCAAAATGATGAACATCAGTTGAATACAAACCCATAGGGAAATGAATAATTCAGTCCTCCCACCAGGGTTACAAGATGTGAAGAGATAAACCAAATAACCTCACATACCCAACACTGACAATAAAAATCAATGAATAACTCATTAACTGGTCATTGCCATTTCTGTTCACTGTTTCAGACAACAATACTGTGGAAAAAACAGTGTGATCATGTAATTAAAGCCTTTATCATAATGCCAGTATAACGTAACATGCCCCTCAAGAGAGATATCGAATCTCCCTTTATTTTCTCTTTTAAAAAGTCCCAACAGATTTCTTCAATACTAAGTGCACATTTGTGATATTTTGTAGAAATACAGTTACATTAGTCTCACCTGATGATCAGATCACAGAGAGATCAAATCAGTCTCTCTTGATCTTAAGTCAAAAGCATAACATCAATAACAAAGTCTATTTATAATCCAGGATTTTGCTTCCTCACTTAAGCTACAATGAAGATGAGTGATTTAAATCACATAAATTAACTCTAATTTGGTAGAAGTGTGCAAAAAAACCCACTCAAAAAGTGGGATCTGAAGGCTAAAAGCCGGGCAGTCTCCTATCTTCTGACTTTGCACTAACCGTAAATATCCCTGGTGTGACTATTTCTTATTTAGTGTTATTAAAAGTCTGGCCATTTGGACTGTGTGTGTATATTAGGATTTAGGATATTATTTTTCTCATTTACCAGTATTTTCCTGCAGAAATGATACTAAGAGAAGGGTTATTTTCACACTCCACCTGAGCAAAAATTGAAGATGTCTCTTGACATTCATGGGAAAAACAGGTGTTCTCAACTACTCATATGGATTTTTAAAAAAATCTAAACAAAAATCTGTAAATATTAAATATGTGCATGAGCATAGTGCAGGCTGCTCCAAAAGCACCAGCTTCTCAGATATCTGCTATCTATACCTACTTTTTTCTTTGCCTTGCAAAGGTTCATCAGACAGTGGCAGAGTTGGATTTGTCCTGTACCAAAATGGCAAATTCTTCCAGTCCAGGGTTTATCAGAGTCTCCACAGCTTGATGGAGACAAAAACGAGTCATCTCTGGCAACATTGATGGTGGAGTAGAGAGTAGTGTTGAAATAGCCTTCAGTCCCAAGGTAAAAAACACCACGGCCAGTTTGAGTCAGAAGCTACCCTGGCCCTATTACACTCTTCAGGACTTAGGGAAAGAGACTCCAGCAGAGAGGGGGTGGGGTTTTTTTGGTTTGATTTTTGGCAATTAGCAACTGACAGAGTTTTTGGGATGTATAGGTGACATAAGTGAAGGGTGTTTAGATTCGCAGAATCACAGAATCACTAATTTGGAGGAGACCTTTAAGATCATTGAGTCCAACCCATGCCCTAACACTGCAACTAGACCATGGCACCGATTGCCACATCCAGTCTTTTTTAAACACATCCAGGGATGGTGACTCCACCACCTCCCCGGGCAGACCATTCCAGTACTTTATCACTCTTTCCATGAAAAACTTTTTTCGAATTTTCAACCAAAGTGGATCAAGTGGAATAGAAAATGTTCTTCAACTTCTGCATATAACAGCTGATACTGCTGACTGTGCTGCTAAACTAGGACATTTGTAAGCAAAAGTGTATTCTATAAAATGTTATAGGAATACCAGGGTGGATTTGTCCTAGGGTGCATTAGTCCTATATCAAGAATGAAAAAACAAGTTTATGGAGGACAGTCTTCCTCTCCAGAAGCCTACCTAAATTTTGGAAAACAAGAAAAAGTCAACATGACTGGCACAGCCCAATACACATATTACTGTGGGGAATGTTCATTTTTCCTGCTATCTTTTAACTCCTACTTCCAGATAAAACCATTATATGCTTTGACTTCCTTCACCAGGAACTGATTCCAGATGTTACTGAATCTTTAGACAATATGTATTTGGCATGGTTTCTCCAGAAAACAGTAGTTGGCTTCTTACAATATTTGACAAAGTTTATAAACTCAAACACATACATATGACAGATCAGTAACCATCATCACCATGGAATCATAAAGCTAAATGATCCAGGAAATGTGTAACTGAAACAGACTCTTTTACTCCTATTTTTATTAATAATTTTTAATTGAACTATCTAATACCCTGAATGGCTGTGTTCACTTCTTATTTGCATTCCAAGTTGCTTATTGCTCATTACAAGTAGTTCTAATTTCTGCACTCTGCAGAAGTATGTTTGAAAATGACCACATCATTTGATGTGTGAGTGCACGAGCACCACTGTGCTGCAGGAGGGAGGGAGGGGTCACTCTATTTATCATTGTTTGCTTCCTGTTCCAGTGTGGATTCAGCTCTGGTTGGCAGTAACAGTGCTACCAAAAACTGAAAGCTGGTGTTTGCATTACACGTAATTCAACTGGCAGTTGTTTAATGCTTAGTCAGTGGGAGCCTGAATAAGTCACAGGAATTGCTAATTTCATTGGCAATCTTGACTGAGAAAGGCATATAAAATAAATTTAAAATGCGAAATTATGCTGTTATTGACATAATTCATAAGGTAAACTGGAAATCCATATATCCCTCAGTAGCTGTCAGCTGTCTTTTCAAAATCAAATCACTGTCAATTCCCACTGCTCCTGTCTCTATGTTTCACACTGGTGCCTATCTCTATGTTTCTGTAGTCACTTACTCTCCTTGCAATCCCAATCCCACACCTGTACTGCAGCTGTGTAATTATGACTGTATCTTTTGGGATTACATTGTAAACGATGCAGGTGCAATCACACCACTAATTTTTCTGTTCAGATGGTAGGACATTGGCCTTTTATGAACGGGAAGAGTCTGGGGTTGTTTAATTTTTTTGTTTGGTTGTTTCTAACTCTAAGACCAGCATGGCATTATAAGGGCATGGGTGCACTCAAGCTAGAATACACAGGAGTTTAGTGTCCCTGTGTACTTGTTTCTGTCCCATGGCAGATCTGGCAAATTGGGCAAGTTGTGCCCAAGCTGTGAATAGCCAAATGTCTTGGCAGGTCCTGGCTTCCTCTGACACGACTGGTGGCTGTGCCCACCTACTTGTGCAGCTCCTTAGCAGGGAAAGGCTGGCCTAATTCATTCCCCTTGCTCAGCTGCTGGAGCCTCCATCTTTGCACCTCCAGTGCTGAAGCTGGTGGCTAAATGACGGCTTGTCTAAAGGCTGAAGTGTCCCCACATGAACAGCAGAATTTCCTGGAATCTGGGCTAGCTGTGGCACTGCCTTGTGCTGGGTAAGTAACTCAGAGGATTTAGCATTAACTACTGCCTTTACTTATATGCTCATAAAAGCACTTGCTCTGTAAATATTAGGCTTTCAACCATAAAGTTCTAAATACATTACCCTCTTTTACTAACAAGACTATTTAGGAATGGCTGCCTGATTCTGGTGTTCGTTATTCTTTCAGTATTTATTTCAGCTTCTCTAAATAAAACACACCCTGGATAAAACCACATATCTGTGTGGTCACTAACTTCAGCATGCCAGCATTTCAGAGCTCATTTTTGCCGTCTTCACAGAACAGCATTTCCATATTTGTACTATTAACTAGTTTCTGTATTTCCCTTTATGTTATTCACGTCCCTTTTGCACAAAGTGACTATACTGTAAATAAGATTCCCATTTTATGCAAATGAAACAGCATTTTCTGTTTCACTGTATACATTTACATTTACTTGCTGCTTTATTGTCACTATACAAGCATAGAGTGGATTGAATTTATAATTATTTGTAATATCTTACCCTAGACCAAGAAGTCAAAAATTCATAATTCTTACCAGAATGAAAAATTAAAAGCTGCTTTGTTAAGTCTGTGTGACCTTGCATTTTATTATGAATAATATTTGATTGGTATTGTTAAATATTTTTGGTGTTTTTCATAAGCTTCTCTAGTTTTGGGGTCCAGAATAATTCTATGGGATCTAAAAATCCTGGCAGTGGCTACAATAATCAACTTTACTAAAAACATTCTTGTTTCTATGTACAACCAGAAACAGAAACTTGAAAAAGAAATTTCTCTCTTCTCATCTTATATAACTGATACAATTGGTTTTCTAGGCATTTCAGATGAAATAGAAATATGCAAAACCTTTGGATTATATTTTTATATTGGTGTTGGATTGTCCATGGCTGGTTTGGTTATTAGGATTTTGTTTCAAATATTCACTAGGTAAGAGAGAAGATGTTAAACTGCAAGTATTTTACAATAAGTTACAATATTTTGTTCTGTATGTCATTTGAGGAAAATAATTAAAAGCAGCCAGTTTAGAACATATTGCAATGTTATTGATTAGCAAATTATATTTTCAAAGATAGTGAAATCACATAGCATGGCTTGGGACTTGTTGATACCTCCCTTACTACCCTGGCCAGCACAGACCCAGAGAGATATTGCAACACAGGTCTGTGATACACACAGGGCTTTTCAGTTCACTGTCTCAGTACTAGGTTTTAAAAATGTGTCACTAGGTTTTAAAAATGTGTCACCACTAGCATGACCTCCCCCCATACCCTGGTATTACAGTGTATAAACAGTTATCTTTTTCTAGGCAGAAGCTGCTTGTGCTACTGTTTTATTGTGAATGACTCAATACAAACTCAATTGCAGCAAATTTTCTTGATGGACATGCCTGTGACTAATGGTGTCCTGTGATTCACCTCTGAACAATGAGCAAAGTCATGCCAGCAGAGCTGGAGTTATCATAGATAAATGCATGTTTCTCATCCTGCTTGCACTAATGCAGATTTGGAGCAATTCCATCAAGTTCATGTTTTAAGACTGCAGGCACTTCCAGCCACTCCTTTTAAGTGCATTTATTTATGATAATGTAATATATATATAAATACACACGTATACCTATGCATACATGTACTATATATAATGCCATGGGAGGTGGTGAAGTCACTGTCCCTGGAGGTGTTTCAGGAAAGACTGGACATTGCACTCAGTGCCAGGGTCTAGCTGACGTGGTCATAGGTTGGGCTCAATGACCTCGGAGGTCTTTTCCAAACTTACTGATTCTGCTATTCTGTGACTGGGAGATTAGACAAAGTTTGGAAGTGGAGGTTTATTATTCTCCTGCACTTTGGAGAATGGTTAGAATACTTGCTTTATGCTACCTCACTTCTTAACACTGAGGAAAAGTATTCCAAAAGGAGCAGAAAGGAAAAAACAAAAAGGTGCTAGATATTCTCTGTTCTAGTCAAAGCCAGAAAAAACTGGTAGATTTGTTAAGCTGCCAGAGAATAACATTAGTGTAATTCTGCTAACAAGTTATTGTTTTGGTTTCTGTCTGAATTAAAGTTTCTCCTCTCTAACTTGCTTTTAGTATAAATGAAAATGAGAAAATATTTGACAATTTTTCTCATTTTTCTCTTCTTTCTCCTAAACATATTTCTATCAATAGGAAAACTCAAAATTTATCTGCGAAGTGAATGTTAGTGAGTCTCTGCTTCTCTGTGCTCAATGTTAACATCATCTTCATCTCTGGAATTGAAAACCAAACTTGCAGGAAGTGCAGTAGCAATACCACCAGATGCTATCAGCAATACCTTCCTTATGATGCTGCCAGTACCACCTTACTCACCTTTGACATGGTAGATCCTCCTGCAGACTCCTGGTGCCCAGCTGTGGCTGTCCTACTGCACTATTTCTTGTTGGCAACATTTCTGTGGTCAGCACTCAGTTCTGCACTGTTGTACTTAGAGCCACGAAGCCACTGCCTGGACATTTCCTCATATCCATGTCAGTAATCGGATGGGGTAAGGCTTAAAGTTGTCCATATGACAACTTTTACAGTACAGAGTACATTCAGGGAGAGTTGTAAAGATAGGAGATCAGCAGAGAGCAATTACAACCAGTGTCTCTGGGTTAGTGCCACGTGATTTAATAACCTCCTGTTGCTGCTCCCATTACTGGTATAACCTGAGCCTGTTTTCATTGTCCTGATAAAATGCTGAAACTGATAGCCTGGTCACTGGCACAGCAGCATAGGTCTGTTGGGTGAAGGAGAAATTTTCATAGTAATCAAGCATTCAACAATCTGCTTCTGGCAACTAAGTAAAAAGTCGTTCCATTATGATGATTGCATATGTGGACTTAAATTCCTGACTTAGAGATTCCCAGCCAGAGCCCTGAATGCATCCAAAAGCAATGAGTGCCTAATATTAAACATTATATATTCTTTATTAATAAGCAAAGAATACATTCTAAAGTCAGTACAGCAGTTAGCAGCAACACTGCAAACTGAAAGGAAACTATCCAGAAAATGGAAAAATTCAGACAGATGCTGACAAGGCGAAGTGAAAATCTCAGCCTCAAGAAATTCTTCTAATACAGTGTACAGGGACACCAGTCTTTCCTATGTTGTGTATTCAGCTTTTGTGTTGTTTCTGATGGCACCCACCAAGCAGTTTTCAACCCTTATTGTTCCATTATTATGTCTTGCACTTGTAGAGGCAACTCCTCGGAAACATTTAGAATTTGGACTGCACATGCAAGCCAGAAAAAGTTCAGCAAACACTACCTGGGCTACGTGGCACTGCGCTCCCGCCTTATGTATTTGAATGACAGCACAACATTATGTTCTTCTCTGTGTCCTGTGACAAGTTACACACATTCAAATCAGGATGATTCTGACTCACTGCTTTTGGATCTCTTTTGAAAGTACAGTCATGCATGGCAGTATTGAAGGTCTCTATTAGGGATGCAGAAAGAACAGACTTCAAGGAGCATGTTTATTCCCAGGATAAAAACTTTTGCATGAGGTTCCTTCCCGTGAGATGTGCTGCCTAGTGTGAACTGGTAGGCAGAAGATGTGGAAGACAAGAAGTGAAGCAAAGGGACTGAGGAGGCAAACCTGACAGCCAAGCTTCTTGCGGGGCAGAAGTTACACTCTGCATCAATCTGGTATGAAATGTAATGGTGTTTGGCACAAAATGTTCCTAAATTAGTTTCTCACTGCTGACCTTAAGGTAGAGTTGTACAGCTGTGATAAAGGAGCCCACTACAGCCCAGGAGGGAACTTGCTCTTTCACCACTGGTGTTGGCTCAGGAAGCTCTGTTGATGCTTTTTTATGGCAAAAATCAGCAAGTCATGGACATGAGCTGTCCTCAGAAAAACAGTGCTCACAACCCTCAGTCCTGCCTTTTGTCTAGGCTACAGAAACCCCCTTTAACTTAGTACAAGGCAGGTGAAACATAGATCTTAAAATCTGTGGAATTTAGGAGGCAAGAAGCTATTTATGTGAAAGAGAGGTATGCCTGTGCAAATAATAAATTGCTAATGTTTATTTTATTAATTAGAAATCTCTTCCATAGTAGTTGCAATAACACTTGCAGCTACTGACAGAGAAGGAAAAGCTCTAAACTGCCAACAGGAAGAACTTTAAGTCAACATATTATCACAACACTTGCTATTCCATGCCTTTTGTGATGGTTTATTACTAATACAATTCTAAATGTTATGTTGGTACACTGTTTTGTACTTCTAAGTACTCAAAAGAAATAAAACTCATCACTCAACCTAGATATTCACTAGAAGGAAACACATTTTCTCCTTACTAAGGATATTGGGAACTGCATTTACATCTGCCTTGAATCCTTCTGCAAGACTGTGCAGATCTCTGTGAATTAAAATGCAAGCTGCAGACACCCTCAGCCCAACTGATACTCCACCCCTTCACTTAAGTGCACAACTTCAGAACAACACTTCAGTACCTACATTTAATCTATTAAATTAATTAATGTACTGAAATATACATACCTCACACGTATTTAAAATATAGCCATAATAACTATATTCCTACTGGCCCCATGTTTTTGGCAGAGGTATTAATTGGAGTGCCCACATACCAAAGCAGGCTATCAGGCTGACAATGTACCTTGGCAATAGTGGATGATACAAAAGAAAGGCAGACTTGTTCAGGAAATGTAAACACAAACCCCCTTCCAGATGTTGGTCATGTTGTGATACTTATTTAGGACATGTGGACTTCTAACTTGAGATTATTGGAAAATGAAAAAGAAAAGAGGTAAAGATTGTTACAGGATAACCCTGCTCTTCTGAACTTGTCCCTGTTTTTCTTCAACCTTTGTCTATTAGGTCTCTCCTATTACTCTTTACTGTAAAATATATCCTAAAGATAAACGTGCATATAGTGGCCAGATATCTACCTGGTTAGTTATACTGCACCCTATTATTTCTGTGTGTAGTTTTTTTGATATATCATTTTGCATTCCCCAGAGAAAGAGAAGCATGACTGAAAGCCCTCATTTTGCAAGGAATGGCTGCCTTTCAGAGCTAAGTTGGCAAGATCTAGAAAGCACTGTAAGGTCTTTCAGGATGGAAAGTGTAATATTATTTTGTTTTGTTTTGGTATTCTGAATAATGTAATGTATCTTTTGAAACTACCTCTTTTTATATTCAAAGTTGCTGGCTTGCAGCACTGGACCAAAATCAGAATTTCAGTGTGTAAAAGCCTACACTGTAGACTTTCTCTCGCCAGTTGCACTCATATTCCTTTTAAACATCTTGATCTTCATGAGAATCAGTATCTCTGTGATACAGAAGAAGATTAATTTGATAAGGTCAGATGGCATGGTACTCCTCATATTTTTCAGCAAATTTATTCCTCAGTCTCTTGTCACCAGCTCAGACTCTCTTGCCACAAACTTGGATTTTTGACAAAATCTTTTATTTTAAAGAAATGTATACTTTAAGCAGGCAGAAAATGAATTGAATTTATTACAATAGGTCAGACTTTGTTCAAGTGCATATCAATGAACACATTAAGACTTTCATCCCCCTTTTTGGATTGCAGTGTCACTCAACTTGACTTCAATGACAGTTATTACCAATTTAAATCCCTAAAAGTGAGAGAAAAGTGGGTCCAGCCAACGGAAAATTATGACTCTGCTCTCAGCAGAGCCAAACACCATGCTAGTTCTCGAGCAGCTTGAAGCAGATTTACTTGGTCAGTTTTACATCAACACTCCATGTATTGTCACAGGTTGTAAGTCACAAACTCTCAGTGTACACTGCACTATTTTAAAAAGAGTTGTTTTAATTTTTATTAATTCCATGGGACTGATCCATTCAACAAAACTTTGTATCATTTCTTCATTTCTTTAAGTACAATTTTCATGGTTGGAGAAAACAAACTACCTTATCTCTGAGTCTGTTCAGGCTTGAGAGAACCTGGATATTCAAACTTCACAGGCAGCTAATTCTTATCTTGAAAATTAAATGCATTTGGATGAATTTATAAGCATTTTAAAAAGCTTATAATAGCTAACATGCTAATTTTCAATCACCTTGGTAAACCTCACTTTTTAAATGAAAAACAGATGCATCCAAGCTGCATACTCTAAACACAGATTATTCTGATAAATTTGGTTACATTTATTGTCCTGGATTTCTTCTCTGAATGATACATCAAACAAATGTAGGGAAGTATATCTTCTCAACTCACCTTAATAATACCTTTTTGCAATATAGCCCTGAATAAATATAAAGTTTAAAATTCAGATATTAAATGGTATAGAGAAAGATTTAATAACTTTTTGTGTGTTTGCTTCTAGGAATAAAAAGGATTCATTAATGAAAAACATTAGCACTATCTCTGTAGTGGTAGTGCTCAAGATGACATGGATAATTGGCTACCTCTTGTTAATAAGTAGTGAAAAAAAAAGTCTTGCTTTCAGCTTTCTGTTTTACATTTTGAATGCTACCCAGGTATAATATCGAGCAATTCTGAGATTAATAATTGAGATATAAAAACAAAAATCAGACTTATTTTGTCCTACAGCTTGATATAGGGTGGGAACTTGTTGGACAGCATTTACAGGGATTCAGATTTTTTTTTCTGAAATAAATGCTGGTCTGTCACACATAGAACTCTTCCCTTTGTACAAATCAAGGTGGGATTTTATTTTAAGGTCAGCACTGAGAAGACTGTTCTGTCTGGGTGGCGTCTCTTATACCAAATCATATAAAAAACTATTTTCAGAAAGAATAGCAGGAAAAAACTCCTCTGCAATAGTTGTTGGAGAGTCCAAAGGAAGTACCAAGAGCTCCATGGCTTGAGGCCTTTCACAGTGATACTGAAAAAAAAGCCTTCAGGAAAGTGTCTGCCGCTTCTTTCCCCCCACAGCCCTGCTGGATTCTTGGCCTTGTACTCCTATAAATGCATCCCTTCATATAAGGCATATGAAGTACTTGGAGTAATGGATTCTTCATTATTAAACCCCTGGCTATTTTCTATAAATCAGCTAATTGGAAATATGTGAAAATCTACCTATGCCCAAACATAAAGTTGTTTATTATCAGTTTGATCTACTGACAACTGCGTGCCTGTACACCAGTGACAATCAGATCTGCAAAATCTGTGCAAAAGTCCTGAGGTGATCATTCGACACTGACGGACAGATTATACCCAAGATTTAAAACTGAAATCATGAACAGGAAACAGAGATTCATTTATTGAAAAACATGAGGTTGGGTTTTTTTTTTTTTTACTCAGGAGTCTCCTGTTTAATCCTTAAAATGAGAATATAGAAAACCAGTAAAGAAATGTTAAAGTCTTTATTCCCTTTGTGTGAATCTGACTGAAGTGCTGATATGGCACACCACATTTAATGCTTATGGCATTCTCAGCCAGGTCTTATCTTCATCCAGTCCAGATGAGAATAATAATATGATCCTGAGACAGGCTCCTGTCACATGCTAACTAATCCATTACAATGTGCAAATGAGGCATCTATAGTGGGGAATAATCTACATGGAATCGTTTTCCTATTGAAATACTTCTTTTATTTCAAGTTATTGATGTAATTGCTAACAGTTACCAAAAATAATTTTATGGTTGTTTTTCGAATCAAGTCACATTGACAAATCGTTTCTGGTTTTAACTGCAAAATATTTAGTCCACATTTCCATTTCCTCTACAGGGACTCCAGATTTGTATTCTGTTCACTTTCAGAATACCACTCTTCAGGAAAGAAGTTTCCAAAGTGTTTCTTGTTTTCCAGGTACCACTGCATCTGCATTCAAAAACATAAAATGTTTCAAAATCACAGTCTTAAAAGCATTCACAGGAAACTTTCAGATCAACCCAGACATTTTCAGACACTATTTCCTTGTCTATCTCCCCTAACCGGAACTAGAAACCTGCAAACATGTGAAATACAATCCTGTGTTCATGGTTTGTTTCATGCAGTTCTCAGGGATACCCCGAATGATGGACACACTTTTTCAGCTGCAGGTAGCTGGAAATAGATCATAAGCTGAGACCACGAGGAGCCAGGAGCAGGACCACGTGCTGGCAGGACAATGTGACTGCAAACCAGGCAGCACCAGAGCCTCTTGGTGCCACTTGTATTCCAAGGTCTTTGCAAGGACCTGAGCTAATGACAGTTCTATACTCCAGTACAGACAGAAGATACAGAAGCTGCTCTCTTTATGCCCCTTGTATATTCCAGGCCCATTGGACATGGCCAATGCACTGCAGCTCTCCTCTCCCTTTCAAAAGTAAAAATTCAATTTAATTAGAAACCAAAGGTACATCAACAAGCAGCAGTTATAAATACACTGTGCATTACACGTGAGATTTTCTGAGTGTCTTCATAGAAGTGTTTCATCAGTCCTGAGAAGTCCTCCATGTCTTAGAAATCCATGCTCTCTTATGAGGCAGAAAATAAGTGTACTGTAGCATTGATAAACCTCTAAAAAGAGCAGTCACATCAGAAGCAAGGCTGAAGTTCATCACTACTGCTCCAGAAAAAGCAGAGAAGGTAATTAAAAGTTATTTAGGACAGGTAGTTAAATTTTTTTATAGGAAGTTCATGCACCTGTGGGCATCCACTTTTTATTTGTAAATCATTTGTGTAATGCTTGCTTTTGTCAATTCCTTCAATTTCCTTCAGAAATTTTCCTTTAGAAATTTGTGTGGTTTAGGAAGGATGATGCTTGATTGTGTTGTAAAACACAGATAGGCACTGTGAGGATGACTCCTTAAAAGAGTGATACTATTTTCTAATAATTGATTTTTCCCCCCACAAACAAAAGTATTCTCTAAAGAACATCCCATTTAATTTTGAACGTCTCTTAAAAAAAAAAAAAGTTTCCATATTATCCCAAAAACAAGCAAAAAACCCAAGAAGAAATGGAAGTATGGGATTGGAAATGCTGACTTCTTTTACTAATTAAGCATCCTGTCTCTAAATATTTCAGATGTGAATAAAATGCTGTTATTGCCAACACTGAACATGTCTCGCTTAATATAAAACATTTTCAGCATAAAGCCCTCTCCCAATTATACATTTTATGACTTTTTTCCCTTTCAACTAAGGAATCTAATTTCAGAAATGGAACAAGCTAAAATGATCTTTTTCAGGTTATATGCTAAATTGTTATAGGAACAATAGTTCAGCTCTTATCTACATATGGAATACATTTATCTTCATGAGGTAGTGAACTTTGGTATTGTTTGTGATACGTGGGCTTTAGGGATCACAAAGTTTCTTAGTTAACACTTTGGAAACAGTGCTTTGATAAAGAAATGGATCGGAGAAAGACTGAATCATCAGTACAAAGTTATGCAATACAAGTGGAAGAAAGTATAATGGATGTAAACGTCCAGTTTTCTGGACATTTCCTATATTTTTTAAAGCAAAGATTTTTTTCATAGAAAATACCAAAATATTTCCTAAATTAAACATTTAGGAAAGAAGCCTCCTGAACCATACACTTCCTCCTCATTGAAATGTTTAGAATTAAAGTTTGTATCGTGCTCATCTTTCCTCACTTCCATTTCAAATTCTCACCTACATTTTCATCTTTTCACTGCTAGTTGGACCCTCCTCTAGGCAGAGACAGAGCTCTCGGCAAGGACAAATACTACAAAAATTAAACCACTCTTACATTTTTCTCGTCCCGGCAGAAAACACAATTCGGAAGCTTTGCTTTTTAATACATCAAAGAAAAATGTGTCCTTTCAGAAGCATTTTTAACGCCAGGAAATAAGTATGCACAGTTGTGCTTTAAGCAGTTCTGCATAGGCACCTCTCCCGTACAACGCGGCCTCTCTGTTAAACAAAAATGGACCGCAGAAATCCCAACTATCCCAGAGTAACACGAAGCCCAGTTCCAGTTGCCCTGGGAGAGGCACCCTTAGGAATCCATCTCCGCACCTTCCGTTGACAAAACTCATGAAATTAGCTGCAGATTCATGTATTTTTCTCTCCTGGGGGGACAAGCTCTGATTGCATGACAGGGGAGTGTGAGAATGTGTGTGAGGGTGTGTGCGGGTATCACATAATGAATGCCTCGATATGACCATTCCAGGATGAATGGCTCCTGTGTGTGGGTGTCTAACAAGTCTAACAAGTACAGGGGAATTTTACAGCCCTTTTTTTCTCTGAGCACAGCTAGCCTACGAAGGCCAAGGCCCGTATTTCGAAAGAAACGCGGCCAGAGCGCGGCCTGGCTGAGGCACGGCTGAACCGACACAGCGCTCAATGACGGGCCACGTCGGCCGGGAGGGGGCGGGGCCCCGCCCGGCAGAGCGCGCACGCGCATGACTCGCGCAGGCCCGGCCTCGCTCCGGCCCCTTCTCTCTGCCCTGCCACGTACGGGCGGCGGCGGCGGCCGGGGCTGGACGGGGGGTCTGCACCGGCAGGACGGCGGAGAGGCCAGAGTAAGAGAGCGGGGGCTGCTCCCGGGGACAGCCGCGTGTGGAAGTGGCGGAAAAGAGGGAGAGAGGCGCGGGGGGGGGGGGGGGGGGTTGGGGGGTGAGCCGCCCCCCCCCCCCCGCCCCCCCCGCCCCCCCCATCGTTCCCCAGCGCCAGAGGCGGCGCGGCCCCTGGCGGAGGTGCCGGGAGACCCCTCGCGTCCGTCTGGCCGCGGCTGAGGGAGGCAGAAAGCGCCCGCGGCCTCCTGGGCCCGGGGAGCGGGAGATCCCGGGATCCCTCCCTCCGCACGGCCGGGTGTTCCCTGGGTCACCCCACCGCTTTGCTTTGGGATCCATGGGAGCTGCCGGCTCCTCATTGCCAAGCAGGGATTGGCTGTGACTTCTGTTCCCCTTTGCGCCGGACCTGCCCGTATGGGAACTGGAGAAAACCGAAAAGAGCTCTTCTCCTTTTTGCTCCCTCGCGTCACCCCCCACTTGTCTTGGGAAAACTCTCGGTGGTGGCGTTTGGGAGGCAGTCCTGCTTGCTCGTGTTTTTGTCGGCTTCGCCCTGATGCTTAACCCTGTTTTGACAGGAAAAATCTGAAGCAGGAGTGTCTGTCCTTCCCTTGCCTGGGCAAGGCTGTTTTTCTCTGCTGCTGTGCCAAAAGGGTAGTGAAATACAACGTGGTGATGAGATGCCGAATTTAGAGGGGATCTTGAAGTGAGTGGCCTAGATTGAGCAATCCCTGTCCACATGCACCACCTAGATTAGTGCATGATGTGAATGGAAATTGAGCCGGCAGGAGACGGGAAGTATGTACCTGCAAAATGCAAATGGTACACCAGGAAAGTTAGAAAGATGCCGGTGTGATTCTTATGGAAAGCAGTCTTTAGTCTGAAACATGGACACATGAATGTTTTTTGGTTGGTTGATTCCTCCCCGCCCCAGGAAAGTAGACACACACTGATTTTGTTAAAAAGCTCATTAGTGTGCATTCTGGATGTGTTCTCTGAAAAACTGTCTCAATGGAGTCATCCATTCAGCTGTGTCACAGTGAGGGGAAGAAGCTTTAATGCTGTGTAATTCAGGAATTTGAATAGTTTTCTGTAACAGTTGCAAGCAGCTGCAGTGTTTAGAATCCGTGTCTTTAAATCTGGACACCTTCAAGCAGAATGGAGAACAGCTGGACCAAAAAAAAGTGCATTAAATATTCTGCTACCTTTTCATAGTCATTGATGGACAGCAGGTTTCTGTGAGTAATGCTGGTAAATAAGGCATTACAGTAGCTCCTTTCCTTGCACAGCGATACAAATGATACTTTCAGTCTGTTGAAAGGCCACAGGAGCTCAGCTGTGTCCACCAAAATATGTATGTTTAGGACTTAAAGATGAGGTTCAATTCTTACTGTTAACAGTTTCTGAGTAGCATATATTGTAATGCTGAAGAAGCAAAACCAGTGCCCAGCTCTAATGCTTAAACAACATGAGGGGGTAGCTAAATGCACTCTTTGGTTCAACCACTCTTAGATGCATTATCTGTATCCCATATTTGTCCAGTGCAGTAAACTTACCTGGAGCTGTAGCAGATCTGGGGTGAAAGGAGCACCTGATTCATTTCATCAAACGTGAGTGAAGCATGAGAAAAGTAGTCTCTTCCTGTTCCCCTGCTTAATGCGTCACAACAGTCTCTCATTGTCAGGAGCAGGCACAACCCTTTTAAAGAGGAGCCTTTCGTATAGCCAGGATGAAGGGAGCAGCTGCCAGCCTTTGAGAACCAGAGAGTGGCTTTGTGTCTCTGGGGTTTGCATGTTCTCTGCCTTCATCCTGTGTGTTCCAGTTTACTTCCAGTTGAGTTGAAAGAGGAGAGCTGGGAAGCTCAGCTTTATGTGGATAAAGGGGAACTAACTTTTTTCCTCTGGTTAGTGGTGAATCATCTAAAAATCAGATTATGGATTTTTGAAGTTGACTGTGCATGTGAGAGAGAGGAGTTGCCAGGACAGTACACCCATTGGGTCAAAGGGAGGAGCCAGATATGTTCCCTATTGGACTGTTCTGTATGCTAAATCATCTCTTGGAGACTGTCCTGGAAAGGAATACATTACTGTTAGGAATTCCTACGTGCCATTAGAAAATAATAATAATAGAAAAAATTCTATTATGAAAAGTTTTGTTCAAGATCTGTTTTAGATGAATGCAAGTTCTACAATACTCAAAAGTGTAAATCTGATTGTTACATTATGGCTAAATCAAGGGCCTTTTTAATTGGGTATATTCACAGTGATGTTCTGAAGTGAAAGATTGATGTGTCATTCTTGGGAAGTGTGACTGTAAATATGTTTATTTTCTGATGCAGCTTACTGTTCTCTGGTACTGATAGTGCATGGCGGCTTATCCTAACTCTGTCCTGAAGTGAGGTGGGAAAATTGTCCAATAATCCAGCATCACTAAGACAGACAAGGTAATGATAAATGTATATTTTTGGAAAGGACATGAAAA